GGGCATGGTTAAAACTCAAGACAGCGTAAGCACAATTATTCCAGATATTACAGGTTCCGACAAGTAAAGAATTTTTATAGTCCTGCCACAAATAAGCTATATATTGATTATTGACCATTTGTGACATGCTATAACGAGCAAAAATTAAAAAAAAACGAATAGGTAGGTTTAAAATTAATAAATACAAATATATTCTGACAGTGAATGAGTTAATTATGCTTTCTATTTGTAAAATTCCTCAACCTTAACACAAAATAAGAAAAAAAGTGAATTTTTAAGAAATTTGCGGGATTTCCCGGGTTAAAAAAACAACCGGAATCCCGTTTGAGAAACCCTAGTCACGTAATCGACTTCTGTTGACACTGACGGTGCATTCCGATAAACTAAGTGTCAACTTTCCCACCTAATTGTGAAAACAATCAGTGACCTCCAATATAATTCTCACCAAGAGTGTTTTTTTTTCATCGGAGTTGTTTACAGATTTTTTCCGACAACTACGTAAAAATGACGAATCTCACATTAGCATTTACAATTTTTTATAAAACCCGACCCTTCACTGAAAATTAAGCTTTTTACCATTTAATAATTGAAAATATAAAATCCTTAAAATATATAACAACAGATGGCGACACAAAAAATTTTAATGTTGCCGGAAAAGTTATGCAACGCGATACTGTACTTTTATTTACAAAGTTCGATCGATGTAGTAGCAATTCTTACATTTGTATATTGACAATTAAAATTTTGTTCAATAACGCTAATTAAACGATAAAACAATTTTCAACACGACATTTGTTTAATCTGGTAACAAATCGTTGGATAATTTTAAAAGGTAACTAATTACATTTATGATTTACCGCTATTTATTTACCCGACATTTATTTATAAATTAATAAATCGATAGAAAACTAAGTTTGAAAATAATTATTTCGGTTGCAAACGAGTAGGTGGCGCACTTTCGTAAAATGGCGTCGTGACATTTGGTTATCACGTGGTTTTTGTTTTGCTAGTATAATCGCATTGCTGGATGTTTAAAATGAGTTGGAGGTGTTGTTTTTATTTGCCGTCTTGGAAACCGACTCCAAACGAATGGACGTTTTGTAATCGGTGCATTCAAAGCGAAGAAAAGGAACGAATAAGGAAATTTGTGTATAAAAAGGATGCGATTGCATCAATGGTAAATTTCTTAAAAGGGTAGAAGTTAGTTTACATCAACTGTTCGAAACTGCACGTACTGTAACGTAACTAAAACCGATATTTGGGGCCCGAACACGTAAACCTAAATTTACCCCTAGAGCTTTGTGTGGTCTACTTTTTTTTTAATTACTTAGGGAATAATCATATGAAATTGACGAGTGGTGGTGGTTCCAGGGAGTTTCGGGGAAAGAGCATTCTGAAAATAGTTTTTACTTGTAATTGTACTACTAGCTATTTTCCATATCCTGCATTGTTGTAGCTTGCCTTGACTTCAATTTTGCATGTAGTTATGTGCTGAGGTGTTTGTTGTTGCTTGCACCGGTGCACAGGTAGGAGCCAGTTTCCGTGATCTGCGACTGTAACGTCCACTATTCCGTGAATGCTCGAGCAGGCTACTTGAAGTTGGTGTGGTCATGTGGTATAGACTAGAGCCCTATATAAACAGAGTATGGCCACTCTAACGCGTGGATGCCATCTTGAGGCCAAAGTTGCAGTGTCATAGCACTGTTTAGCATTTAAATGAGCAGAAATCAGATTCAGAAAGAAATTATATTAAATTAAACACTTTTAGAAATAATTTTTAATTATGTTCGGAATAATTGTAGTTTATAAGTGATGGACAAAATATATAACAATAACAGGGCTAGAAGCAAAAAAGTGAAAATATTAAAAAATTATATTTAGCGGATCACATTTATTCACAGCGCTATTGCAATATAAATAATATAAAAAATTGCATTTAAATTTTAAAATATAATAAAGACAAAAATTATAAAAAAATCAATAAAGTTTATTTTTAAACAAGAAAAACTCAAGTAACATAGTGTAACATAGTAACAAATAGTGATTATCTGCCTTCCTTGCAAGGAATGCAGATAATCACTAAATATCAATCATTTATTAACAAAAAGGGTAATTTCCCTGTTATAGGGGATGGTACATTTGTTAATGAAAGGGTTACAAAAAACTTGGAACAGTTTCCAAATTATTATTAGACTTATACTCTTATTTGACAATTGATTTCAAATATACACATTCCAAATAATCACAATCGGTAACGTCAAAGATGACAATACAGAAAATGTTAACATTTACATAATAATAATAATAAACAATGAAACTGTTGACTTTAGTTTATTAATATTTCTGTAATCTTGATGAAATAGTTATACAGTTTATATAAGTCTTTTTTATTGACATTATTTATGTTCATTCTAAATTCAAGGAGAGAATCGCACTGGAATATCCATTTAATATCAAGTGAATCACACAAACTTGCTAAATCTTGACAGTTCTGTAATAGGTGAAAATTCGACAGACTCAGAATTACACCAGGTGCATTGAGTATTCGAAAATTAATATAACTGTTTTCGACCAAGATAGAATATTTATTAAGATGTAATTGAGCTATCTTTTCATGTTAAAATTAATTGATTTAGTCATATACAGTTATGAAGATGGAAAATGGGTTAATATTTAGTATTTCTTCAAAGAGTATTAGATAAAATTTGAAACAAGTCTTTGTTTAGTAATATAAATTAAACGAAAGTAATCAACACTCGTGTTTCCTGCAAGTAAACGAAGTGTGCAACAAAAGTCACCCATAATCACTAAATATTGTTTATTCATAGCCTGATCTTCCACAAGCAGATTTTAACTGCAGAGCCTTTCTTATCGTATTATTTTGCCATTTTATTTCCCGTGTTGACACATTTCCAAGGGTTTTCGTTTGATCAAGATTGAAAATTAATTTTATGTTTGTACTCTGTGTGTTGACTCTAGGCTTTAATTTTCTTATCTCTTCATAGAGATTCTCCTTACTTTTCTGCACTCTTTTAACTCTATGTAATGCATTATGTGATTGAGATTTCAGATCATTAATCTGTTTTGATTTTGGTGACAGTGGCTGGCTAACAAGATTACCGGAGTCCCGAAATACTGGACCAGATGTTTCATTATCTTCATCTCTATTCATGCTTTTACAGTCATCACCATTTTCTTCAAAAAGAATCAAAATATGCAATAAGAAAAAATAGAATATTTAATAAGAATATTTTAAATTTACATTATAAATATACCTGTACTAGGCTGCATAGACGTCATAGGAGATAAATTTGTAGCATAACTGTGGTCCAAGGTCGGATCTACACGCTCTCAATTATTTCTATGCCCTGTTTGGTCCAGAGCATCTTCTCTTAGGTGTAGATCTGTGAGAAAAAAGTGTAGGCACGGCATCATGCTTCAGCAATCTTTCATCCTTCCTGTGATTCTCATACTGATCTTTCTCAAAATGAGCCTATGAGAGTTAATTGTAAATATTCACATCTCACTAAACCAATAAACTTATAAAGGCTAAAATGTAACAGACTTAATACACTTTAGCCTTAGTTTATTAATGTGCAATGTACAATTAAATAGGTAGTCAAAGCAGAAGTCCTTTCTCATAAAAATTCTGATTCTTACCTCACAAAGTAATGCATGTTTTCCAGGAATCCATAATTTCTCATTTTCATTTAGCCTATTTACTTTAATCGCCCATGTTTTTTTCCAAGTCTCATCACTAGGAAATCGATGCAGTTTGAATTTAGGAGCTCTATTTGAGCAATTAATTACTGAACAACCCGGCATGATCTATTTTTATATGGTAGCTTTAAGAGCGATATAGATGTATCGGCAGATCTAAATGCTAAAATAATGATTTCTAACCTCAGTATAGTAAAGTAAGAACTAACTCGATGTTTATAATCTATTTTAGATTGAAATTACCTGGTATATAAAGTTTTCAATTCTGTTATTTATCGTAATAAATAGCTGATTGACATTCGTTTGTCATAAGCGGATCGGAAGCTGGCCTCATAATGGCGTCCATAAACCACGTGATTGACAGTATCCAATCATATTTTGACCCCCCCCAGTTGACCATACTCTGTTTATAGAGGGCTATAGTATAGACCAGTGTTTTCCAAAGTGGGGCCCAAGCCCACAGGGTGGCAATTGGATTGTTAAGGGCAAAAATGGACTCATCCAGAGTTACCGTATAGCCACTGTATATGTTAGGGGGGACAAGAATTTTAGAAACACTTAGGTGGGGCATAGCATAAAAAAGACAGAAATGTGGAAATTCTCACCTCGTTCCTTTCTCGGCATACGAAACTTCAAAGTGGTGTCAAGTTTCCTTTTCCATCCTGGATCGCCCTGGAATCGCCACTTCTATTCATATTACACCTAGTTTCCCCTAAGTAATTAAAAAAACGTTAAAATACAATCACTCAAAAATTGTGTTAACTTGATGTAAAAACTACAATAAACCAAATAACTGGCAGAAATATTCAATGCCTAGAGGCCTGGAGCCCATTATACTTTGCTGTCTTTGACTCCTGATTTCTGTATCTATCCATCCATGTGAACTGTGCTTCTGCTCTCTCCATAACTTTCTCCTTTCGAATATCCGAGACTTGGTTAAGCACCACCATAACATGTTAGAATATTTTGGCGAGCCACCATTCTACCACCCCCTACATTTGATTTAAATTAATAGTTATTGAAAGAATGTACCACCACATCATTTTCACGCTTTCTGTTTAGACATTACAGTGTACATACAATTCTCAATTGTTTCATTGCACTGTTTGATCATTTTTAAACATATGAATGTTAATTCTGATCACCAATTCTTAACTGAAAAGTTGAATATTTTTTGTGTCTGGTTTTTCTCTCTATTTTTTATTGTTTGTATTCTAAGAATTTCCTTCAATTTTCTGTTTTCTTTGATCAAAATGATTATTCATCATCAATATAGTTTCCTTCTCAAATAACATACATTGCTATACTTTCTCTCTTCTTTTTTTAAAATTACTATTTCATATATAGGTCGGAAGATTAATGTTAAGAAAATTAATTTCTGAAATTTTAAACATAAATTACGGCGAAGTTGGCTTTGAAAGATCCGCCAAAGAAAGACCCATCTTACGTAAAGATTTATTGGTAAAATATCCACTGCTTGACTTTAACCTTTCTCACCAAGGAGATTACTGTGTCTGTGCTGCAGAAATAAATAATAAAGTAGGTATTGACGTTATGAAAATAAGCTATACAGGTAACAAAAATATTTTAATATTGAAATATTTATCATTCTGATGGTTGTTTTACAAGAGAGTTTATTTATGAAACAGGTGGAAAATCTATTTCCGAGTTTTTTAACTTGATGAGAAGACAGTTCACCTCTAAAGAATGGGATTTCATTGAATTGCCCGGTTTAGAAATGGAAAAACTTGGAAGATTCTACAGACTTTGGGTTTGTTATTACTTTAATAACTGTATAGAAATATATTAACAGATTTACTGTTCCTATATGTAGCGATTTCCTAGCTGCTTGTCAAAATATTATGCATAATAAAATGGAAAGTGCTGTACTAATAAAAAGTTAATATACAAAATAATAATATAAAATTTATGAATAAAAATATATTCTTAGAAGTGTACTGTAAAGAATGAATAATTATTTTTCCAAAAAATGAATAGCATTTTCTAAGAGACAAATGCAGCAAACTTTTATGATGCTCATGAGGAGTCAACACACACACTCTTGCAGTGTAGACTTTAAGACATTAGTGAGGTTGTGGCTGAAGTTTTCATCTCTAAAACGTGATTGTCGAACGTTGAGCGCCACTTACAAGATAGTGGCACTCAACATTTGACGTTCATGTTTTAGAGATGAAAACTTTGGCCGCAACCTTGCTATTGCTGATAGTGAATTTGTTATAGACACAAATAAGTCGTCATTATATGTTATCAGTTTTTATTACAGCCAAATGATCTTACTGAATCTCTGACTCTAATCAATTAAATCAGGTTAAGAGGTGGTTATTATATATTACTTTTTATTATCATATCAAGTATCAGAGATCTTACTGTTATCCACCACATTTCTTTCCATATTCCCTTGCAATTGCAACTTGTTCAGTTACCACCTTCCACCTTTTTTTCTTGGTCTTCTTTTCAGTTGCCCTTCTATAACTTTTCACATAAACTCATTTTAAAAGCCTTGTTTTTTCTCTATTTTCTATTATATATACCTATCTAAATCATCATAATCTTACTCTAATAGTTTGTTCTAATAGACATTTTATGCCCAAGTTTTTCTTGCTTTGATCTTCATAAATTTAATTTGTAATTTTATCTTAATTAAGATGTTATTAAATGGATTAAAGTTTATTATTATATTTAACTTTTTCCAGTGCTTGAAAGAAAGTTATGTAAAGGCTATTGGTGTTGGTATTAGTTACAGTTTGCAACAATTGTCTTTCTGCTGCAAATCTCCAAATCTTCAGATGGACATCGTAACGACTGATACTGAATTATATATAAATAACGAACGTGAAACTAGTTGGACGTTTCAAGAAACTTTACTCGATAAACAACATTGTGTTGCAGTTGCCATCAATAAAAGTCAGGTAAAATAAGGTTACTTTTTTATATATGTAAATAGCTTATACAATAAAATATAGTGATTAACAAACATCGCTAAACCCGATATATAATATAGCTAAACACCAACCGAATGCCGAAAATCTATTGGGCTACTTTAAGGCTAATTACTAAATGAATTACATAACCAATTTGGCTCTAGAGGTAAGCATTAGGTGCCATCTCTTATTAACATAAATTAATTAATTTATTTATAGTTATTAAAATAATTTAGAACCTTTAGCCTTAAACTAACCCGATAAACTAGCCTGATAGAAAGAAGGAATATTGTGCCTTTTGCCAATGAAGGAAAGAATGAGAGGTGAAGATATTTATCGAGTTTTTAAAAATTATGTTTTGGAACAACAACTTCCTTTACATAAATTATCTTCAATTACAACTGACAGAGCTCCAGCAATGATCGGTAAAAATAAAGGATTTATAACTTTATGTAGAAAAGATTATCATTTTCAAATTTTTTTGCTTACCATTGCATAATACATCAGCAAGTTCTGTGTACTAAATAAAGTTCTTTCATTTAGCCACGTTTTGGACCTCAGAACAAAAATTATAAATTCTATAAGAGCTGCTCCATTACAGCACAGACTTGTTAAAAAGCTATTGGAAGATGATGATGCTGAGTTCTCAGATTTAATAACTTACACAGAAGTGAGGTGGCTTAGCAAAGGCAAAGTATTAGACCAGTTTCTTAATTTGATTACTGAAATAAAAGAATTTCTAGAGCAAAAGGAGAAATTTATAATGAACTTGAAGATCCTAATTGGCTAGGTGTGACTTAGCTTTTTTAGCTGATATTTGTCAGAAATTAAATCAGTTAAATCTTGAACTACGAGGTAAAAATAAAGATTTAGTAGATATGGTAAGTGCTATTACAACATTTAAAGGTAAATTAGTAGTGATGTAACAAATATTTGGTTACTATTCGGTATTCGGCCTATTTTTCGCTATTCAGCCAAATACCGAATATTTAATCACTATTCGGCCGAATACTGAATACCTAAAAACAGGAGTAAGAAATAACAAAAACGCAGTAAATTAATAATTTGATATTTATATTTAATGTTATCGGGTTAGTGTTGTTTGTTTATTATTAGTAATTCAAACACAAATTATTATTGTATTTACTTTCAGGCACTTGGCAATTTTTATCATCAAATTTTATTTAGTTGATATTTAGTCAACTAAATAAAACTTGATGATAAAAATTGCCAAGTGCCTGAAAGTAAATACAATAATAATTTGTGTTTGAATTACTAATAATAACTACTGGCACGGTTTCAAAATACCAGTTGTTTGTTTATATTTATTTATAACTTATAAATGCACAAAATAAAAAAGAATAGGATGACAGTATAAGTCACAGTTATGATTTCACAGATTCGAGACAGCTTGGTAGCCCAACGGCCCCAGGCTTTCACCCGTGCATGCTAAGTGACTTTCATTACAAGCATTTAGCTTTCCAAAGTCTATGACAACAATTGTTTGGCATTGACAACCATGAATAAGCTGTCTCGACTTGCTCAATTATGTTATCAACTCAATTTCATATTTATTTTCACTTCGCGGTCCTTCTCTTTTCTTTTTCCGTTATTTACACGTGTAGGTCATTTCATTGTTATCTACATTTGATATCATTTATCACATACAGTTCTGCCATGACGCTCGTCTGTCCGCAACAACTGTCAAGAATTAACGCGATTGACGAAGCGTAGTGACAGCGGGCCAATAGAGAGCAGGTCCTTGCCATAATGCACTTTGCACGCCAATTTTCATACGTATATCAATCTGAATAGTTTGGCCAAATATTTGGCTATTCGGCCACGCTCCTGGCCGAATATTCGGTATTTGGCCTGAGGCCGAATATACTATTCGTTGCAAAACTATAAATTAGCCCTTTAGAGTTTGCACATTCAAAAAAAATTCTTTGACGCATTTTCCACATATGTTGAAAATATTTCTAGAAAATCATCTAGATTCTCAAACATATGTTGATTATCTAACAAAATTAAATAATGAGTTTAATGAAAGATTTAATCAATTTGACGACTTGAATCGATTTTATTTTTCTTTCAAAATCCTATGATTAATGTTGACATTACTACAGTAGTACCTCAGGATATGAAATTAATCCGTTCCTAAACTGAGATCATATCATGAAAATGTCATAAGGTGAATCATTTTTCCCCATATGATTACATGTAAAATTAAATAATCCATTCCAACACAAAAAACACACTCAAATTAAAGCTAAGTAGTACATTGTAAAAAATAACTTTAGCAAGGAAAACACTAAAAAATGCATTTTCTAGTTGTAAATGTATAAATAACCATAATAGAATAATAATTGATAAAAAAAAATGTAGTTTTATTTGCACTTTACCTTTGAGGATAGATGACAGTGGAGGTGTAACCTGTTGGCGGAGGAGAGGGAGAAGGGAAATGATACTAAAACTTAAAAAAATTAGTGTTAAATTATGTAAGTTAAGTTATTGTTACATTATCTTTTCTACATTTCACTATACCTTTAAAATGCAGTCTACTTTTGTCAGTTCTCTAACGTTTTCGGTCTAATTTATAGACCTTCTTCAGGATTGCTACATTTCACTATACCTTTAAAATGCAGTCTACTTTTGTCAGTTCTCTAACGTTTTCGGTCTAATTTATAGACCTTCTTCAGGATTGATGTAAAATATTTTAAAAATTTGAACTTTCTCAACGGTAATTCGAACCACGCACATTTATAAATACAGAGAAAAGGGGCTTAATATAAATTTTCGAGAGTCAAGTAGAATAGCAACGGCATGGAGAGCGGCGGCATTATAAAGAGCTAATGGACATGCGCGATCGAATATCTGAAGATTATAGAACGTGCGTGGTTCGAATTACCGTTGAGAAAGTTCAAATTTTTAAAATATTTTACATCAATCCTGAAGAAGGTCTATAAATTAGACCGAAAACGTTAGAGAACTGACAAAAGTAGACTGCATTTTAAAGGTATAGTGAAATGTAGTAATTAATTAATGCAGTTAGAGATTTAGTAATTATCTTTTCTGTTTTATATTTTTTTAAAAATTTTTTATTCACTGCTTTTTGCTTTCTTTTCTTCACTTTCACTGGATAGAGGTCGCTTGGTAAAATATCTAACCAACATTTTAGAAACATTTTAAAAAGTAGGCTTAGCCTACTTTTTAAAATGTTTCTAAAATGACTTAGGCAAATGTCATTAAACTGAGCAGCAATACGGCCAGTGTGAACCTTTTAGGAATGTTTCTTTTCAATAAATCAGTCACTTTCTGATAATATCTCAAGATTTCTTTTATCGAGCGCGATCCTTCCACGACGAAGGAATATTGCAGCCTGTATGCCAGTTTGCAATATTGCAAAGTGTTAAGCACATACTGTGCAACTGCATTGCCTCTGAGAGGATTCGTAGACAGCATTTTGGAAACGCAAGTTTTAAAGAGATTCTGGGCGAGAGGCCAAATCTAGATAAGTTATTGAACTTTCTGAAAGTCACAAATATTTATAAACATATTTAATTATGTATTTAGTTTATATTTTTATATACAGTAGAGTCTCAAACTCGGCCTAATGTGGACCGAAGGGTGGCCGAGTTTGTGAAAATGCCGGATTATCGGGAATGGGGTTTAAAAAAAATAAGTACGAGTGTTTCCTCAGAAAATACTGTACTGTACTTGTATGTATTGTTTACTTGAGAATACAACAGAGAATAAACTGCCCAAATACCCTTAAACAAAGGAAAAGTACGTCCTTTATGAAAGCATAGAGCCTTTACTACATGAAAATGAAAATTAATGAATACACTGTGTACAGTAATTTACTTGATAAGACAGACCTTAGAAAAATACTTTGAGGCATAAAGCTGTCTATAATAAAAATTAATTAACTAAGGATTTTTTTGCCCTGCCAGGGTGTGGCCGAGTTATCCGGACTGCTGGGTTATCGAGTGCCGATTTTTCAAGACTCTACTGTACCTTGTTGTTTTTTCATTTGTACTGTTTATGTGTGTGTTGTTTTTTGTGAATTTGTTTTATTTATTAAAATCTTTTACCGTTTGGCATGGTGCAGCTTAGCCTAAATGGCTCTGTCGCCAAAAAACACAAACCAACCAACCAACCTAAACATGGTTATGTAGATACATTATGAATTCTGTCATTAAGTATTTAAGCTCTTAGTGGTAAAGTAAAAGAATAAATGGGTATAATGCTGAACTCTGGATGAACAAAAAAATAGAAGACAAGATATGAAGAGGAAGATCCAGGGTGATATGGAGAAATCAAAGAACTGGATAAAATAGAGAACTGAGGATAGTACTGTACATGAAGGGTGATTGTTGTCAAAGGCTTTTGTTCTTTCCTGTCTTTTCATAGTGTTGGAACATGAGTGATATAATTATGAGCATGTTTTCATCATCATCAAAATGCAAATAGAGTCTTTGTAATTGTTTCCATGATGTGAAAAGAACAAAAGTGACACAACAAAATCAGCTTTCTTTTATAGGCTCTTTTCTGTCTAATTGTCTAATATAGCTAAACTGTCCCTTCTGGCATCTGGAAAAGCTAAAACAATTTAATTAACAATAGGTATGAAACAAGAAACTTTTATAAAATAACCATTTTCTAATTATGAGTGATTCTAACCTGTTTGGTTGTGCACATGATCTTCAGCAATAGCATGTATAATCAAAGAGCATACAGTTAACCTTAATGAGTTTGGATTTTAAAATATTTGAAAATTAATTAGCTCAGTTAAAAAAAATTATTAGGTGTGTTGTACTAGTATGCACCAAATTATTTATGTTGAGAAAACTAAAAGCAGTGCATCATTCACGTTGCTACTTCAGTGCATTCTAGTGTTGGCCTAGAGAGCAGCTGGTGTAGGTGTGATATTGGTTTGAAAACTTACATCAATCACGTACAAACCTGCACAGTGAAAATTCTTCTTCCAACAGACATAAAACTTGGACTTCAAACAGATCCTGAATTGCACTTAATGATAACAATAGATGCAATTTTTAATTTATTACAATAGTTTTTGATTTGACACTGCAGTAAAAAACTAAAATTAAAATGTTATGTCAGTATAAAATACTCTTTTAATTACTCAAAAATCTTTTTAAATTTGTTTTCTTGCTATGTTTTCTTTACAATAAATATCTTCATATATTTCTTATAATAGAAACCAATTTAATAATTAAATTAGATTTTTTTATTTTTTGACTGATGACCGAAAACAGGAATTATTCCTCGTTGGAACAGTTTTTCTGCATAATCAATAGTTCTTGGAGTGGGAGGTTTGTTCCTACCCTTGCTTATAAAATTAGTTTTATTAAAATTGTATTCTTAGCTTCCTCCTCCTCATCTACTTTTATTGTTAAAAAGTTAGCTAAAGAAAATTGCTGTGACATAACAATGGATTTCTCAACAAGTGGTCATACAGCTTGATATTTGACCAGGGAATGCACTGCTAATACTGAGCACTTAAAGTTGTTTGCCTTCCTGAATGCAACAATTTTTAATTGTTAAGATTTCTGTATACAAATTGAGAGAAGAGGAAAGTCCTATAGATGTAAAAATAAACATTCATATAAAGATTCTAAGGTAAATTGCACTACAATTCAAAGGATTCATCTCAGATTACTTTGCCCTATTTTTTAGAGATAATATTTGATTTTGAAGATGTAGATTCTCGTTTGTGAAAAAGAAACTTTGTTATCTGCTTGTAAAAATATTTTTATTTTTCAGAAAGACGAAGATTTCATTCCTAATTTCAAACTTCTGACGTATCAGGATTTAATAGAAAATGCCGAACCGTTGTCTGAACAGGATACTTTGTGCGGAGAAGAATTTTACAGAAAACCAGAATAGCCTCGATAGAAATGCTTGTTAGAATATACGAATTTATGTATGTAAATTTTTTATTAAAATTTATTTAATTTATATTCACTTAATTTTTATTAATAAAGTATTTCAATATGAAAATCTTTTTATTAATGAACACTGTTTACCAGTACACCTACAATAATTATACAGCTCGTAATTTTTTCAGTTTTAATTTTAATAGAAATTCTTACTTTAGATAAAAGTATTTTAAATTTTTGGAACAGTAAATAACTTATAATATGAAGAATGTGTTACAGTAGAAAGTAATTTAAACATTGTTCCTATGGTTATAACATTTCAAGATGCAGGTAAGTATTCATTTCATATTTTTTAACATATCACTTACTACAAAGAAAGATACTTAAATATCCTTATATGTTTTTTCCTTTTTATTTGAAAATTAATTCTAATATTTACTACAAAATTTTTAATTTTATTCATACATTCATTGAAATAACAAGAGGAAAGTTTAAAAAATATCTTAGTTATTAGCTTCAGTAATTAAAACTTTTTAATATAAGGTGGGTGGAAAGTAACTAGGCATTGAGAAATCGCCACAATTTTTGTATACTAATGAAATCTTAATAAATTTGTCTGTGTGTATACCTCATTTGATGGAATTTTATAATTCTTTCATCGGTGATGTGGGCAATGGCAAAAAAGATGGACAGTTGCTGCATGTTGTGAGGTGTGGATATTAGAGAGGTTGAGGCGCACGTTTTAAACGTGTAAACGTGTACGTGTGACGTTCGGCGCCGCTTTCCCGTAAGCCTAAAAGTTTGACAATGGTGTTTGGATAGTCGGTGGAATCACGCTCGACATTCCAAACACCATCGTCAAACTTTTAGGCTTACGGGAAAGCGGCGCCGAACGTCACACGTACACGTTTACACGTTTAAAACGTGCGCCTCAACCTCTCTATTAGTGGTTATCGTGCAGAGATGGTAGCATATGTCATGCCACCATCAAGAATTGTTATTTGGTTGCAGATGAACAGAGAAGTGGCCATCCATCCACATTATTACTGGGAAAAACATGATGGATGGTGCTGCTGCCTACATTGAATTTTAAGGTATGCATCCATATTTCCATTTAATAAAGTATGTGTCAAATAATTTTTATCATCTTTACATTAGAAGTATAGAAATTACAGCGATTTCTTAATGCCTGGTTACATTCCATCCATCCTGTGGATTTCGTTTGGAAAAGCAATATCTTATGATCATTAAAATACAAAAAATTACTGTATCAGCATTAAAAACACAAGCACTTTTGACATTTTTATCAATGTCATCTTCAGGTAAAGAATAATAGTTTTAGAACAATTCAGTTTTATATTTATGTAATGTATAATATCTTATGATACTAGTGTATGGATGACGAGCATTTTACAGGAAGTTACAAATCAACATTACAATTCCCAGGTATGTTAGTTTCTGCATTTGATGATTTTTTAGAATCTTTTGATTGCTTCATAATCTGGTTGACATTTTGGAAAATTTGCATTGTTCTGTACATGTTGCTCATCAGTAGAGAACTGATGTGTACAGTTCACAAAAACCTAGATATCCTAAACAGAGTTATTACTGGAAATAAAAATCCTGTATTTCTTGTATAACTTTTGGAGAGAATGTATCTCTTTGATATGGAAATCAGTTCTTCTAAGGGGAAGGTAATGCTGTGGCCTTCTTTGATGTAGAAGGCCTGAAAGTATGCTATCTTGTTGATGGGTCTAAGTTCTAGCGAGTGGTTCTAGAAAGTCATTTATTTCTTCTTTTCCAGCAAAACTTGTATTTACTTGAGAGTTAATTGCCTCTGCGTTGCAGTAAGATAAAAATACGTCTGTGGCAACAAAATCTCAATTCTCAGATGTATGCTTCTAATCTACATCATCAGTTAATTGGGCTGCAATTTGAAAAACTTGTAGACCTATAAATTCCCACTGTTGTTTATCTATCCTTAATCTCAAGAACAGTGTTAGGTAAATGAAATGCAAGACCAGATATGGAAAGCTTAGAAACAGGAGACCCCGATTAACTGAATATAAACTTTTGATGTAAACCAGAAATCACATTATTTCAATTCAAAACTTTTCCTGAAAGCAGTTAATAGATGACTGACACTACTCCATTCATAATGGAAAAGTATGATGTACAGTACATGGTCAAGACACTACTAATTTGAGGTGGGGGACACATATTTTAAATTAAATAAATTAAGAATATGATTAAAAATTGCAGCCTGGCATTATGATGATGTCACAATAAATAATTGCTTGTTAGTAATAAATAAATAAGAGCCTCATTGGCATTATTGTTATAAGTACAGATTAATCACACACTAATGAATAAAAATCGAAAAGTTGTGTGATGCCTCGGAATGCATTTCAGTTTATTCGACAGCCCTCTTAATCCAGATATTTTCATCATCATGGTATTAAAATTAAAACACTTATAAGAGAATTTAATAAATAAAAATAGAATATTCATATAAACTGACAAGAGGGCTGTTGAATAAACTGAAATGCATTCCGGGACATCGCACATTAATGAATTAAAATCAAAAAGGTATGCGATTAATCTGTACTTATAACATTTAAGACCAATGAGGCTCATAGTTATTTGTGCTGCTCATTTGCCCAATCGATTAACTCCATAAAACAAAAGTTGGAGAAAAGTGACAAAATAATATATACATTCTTTGTAGAATGTATTTTAAAAGGAATTTTAACAATGTTTATTTGAAATTTTTATTATTGTAGATATATGTTGTTAAATAAAAGCTACAAGATAACAATTATAGAATATCTATGCTTTATTGTTACGATTTTGATGTGATTGAGGGATTTAATAGACTTGGTAAGTGAAGAAAGTAATAACATCAAATTCAATCTTCAAATTGTTTTTTTTTTTATATAAAGAAACTTCATTATCGTGCATATTTTATTACTCATTTTTGCAAAAAATCTTTAATAACTGTTCTGCTACTGTTACAATGGTTGTTGTTGTTGTTATTTGTTTAAATTGGTTATTCGGCAACATAAATGACGTCGTCTTCATCAGCTGTATTTGAGGTCTAGTCGTGTCGATTTGTTATTAAATTTTGATAAGAATCATATTTAATAGGAGGGATGGAAAATTATTGTTAGTTTCATCCATCTTGATATAACTGTTTCTTTTTCTAAAAACAATTGCCACCAAAATTAAAACAATCATTCAATAATCCAAAAGTATATTTACTTCTGCAGCAGTTGGACTGTAACTAATTAATTTCTTTTATATATTTTTTGTGATGAGATATTAAATAATTTATAGCTATCTACAAGGCACTGGACACTGCAATATGTGCTGGCAGATTTACATTACAGTATGGAGTTAGATAGTATTTATTTCAGAAGCCAATTTTTTTCAATAGTCAATAAAATTAATTATTATTATTACAGATACTTATTTTGATATATTCCTAACTTTTTATATTGATGTGCTTTGAAACTAAAATTTAAAAAAATTCAAAATGACTTAACTGATTTGGCTTGTGAATGGCTTATTTATTACTATTTATTCTGAAATTTTCCATTATGTCAACACACTGGACCATTACTCTCTCCAAATTAGTAAATACTGGCAAAAGTATGGCACCTTTATTTCTACAGCCTCCTTATTTCCCAGACTTTGCTTACACATACTTTCATGCCTCCACCAAAACATTTCATTTAAGAATTGGAAATTTAAATCAATGAGCAATTATTTATTGTGACATCATCACAATGCCGGTCTGCAGTTTTTAATCATATGCTTAATTTATTTAATTTAAAATAAATGCATTTATTTTAAATTAAATAAATTAAGCATATGATTAAAAACCTCAAATTAGTAGTGGCTTTTCCCTGTACAACATACTTTCCACTTAACAATAGTCATGCCGGTCTATCTAACACCTTTCGAAGGAAAATTTTTGAATTGAAATAATGACCTCTGGTTTGCTATGGAAGTTCTTATATAGTTAATTGGGTTCTTCTGCCCTTAAGGTTTCCATATCTGGTCTTGTCTTTCATCTATCTAACTCTAAGGAAAGACAGAGGGATGAATGGATAATAGTGGGAATTTGTAGGTCTACAATTTTTTCAAATTGCAAGCCCAACAAGTAAAAGATGCTGTAATAACACACTCAAGTTAATACAGAATAAATGAGTTGTAGCTGCATAAGGAACTTACTTTAAAGATGGTATTGTTTATGTACGCTTTTAATATTTACAATAACACAAATATTAAGTTATTACTTTTGCAGAATTATTACTACTTAGGTAAAACACGCTCAGGAAAATATTACTACTTAGGCAAAGAATCCCCAAACAAACGACGTCACTATTAAAATAATTGTGACATTGACATTACAGATGGAATCCCAAAATCGATTGGGTTTCAAAAAATGGAAAATCTTCTCTATTTCTTCTTCAGGAGAAAGCTTTTGCATTTCCCAATTCTTCTCCTTTGAGTTCTTCACTCCACACAGATAATAAAATGTCCTTTTTACTAACGAGAGTTTTGATCCTATAAAAATATTATTATAAATCAATAAAAATATATATATCTGATAGTAATCAAATTGCAGTGCTTTTACCAAATCAGTTTGTATTATACTGTTGTAAGGTATTAATCTGCTTTTAAAGTTTTATATCCTTAAAGATAAAAATTTCTGAACTGTATGCATGACAAGCATTATTTTTCAGTGAAACCTTCATTTTGAATATTGTGAACAGTGTCAAAAAAGCATTTTAGAAAACAACTTCTTTCTCTTTAAGTTGCTTTTCAAAGTGTGAGACTGTTCCTAAATAAATTATAAGTTTCACTGATATGTGATGTAATATTTCATATTTTGAAGAGAACAACTTAAAGATGGGAAATCTTGTTTTCTGAAATGCATTTCTTAAAACAGAATAAAATTAAAATATTCCAAAAAGTTTAAGTTAGTTATCGTAAACCTTCAGCACTCTGCATTCATATAGCCATCATTTCATTACATTTGTGACAATAAACAAACAATACTACACACTTCTAACGTTAAACTAGTCTCACTCTGTCATGTAATATTGTCATGTTGTATTTCCCAAAGCAAATACAACATTGTATATTAAATAATTTACTATTTTCAATTTGTCTTTTCAGTTTTCTCTGATTTAAATGCTCTCAAGTGACATTTCTAATTAAATAATACTAACCATCTACTACCACTTGATTACTCTTTCTGATATTTTGCCGAACCTCAGATTTTTCCGATGACGATTCCACACAAATATCCTCTTTGATTCCGATGGAACATGTTCTAACGGATACCCTCTTCTGTCTTCTTTCCGAGATAATTCGGGCATCTAAATCATCTCTTAACTTCACACTGAATCTTGACCGGAATGTTAATCGATACAACTGTCCAATAAAAAGAACTTGTGAAATTTCTTGTCACTAACCTCAACCGTATTATCTGACTTGCCTGATTTTCGGCTATAGCTTCGGTTGACAAACTAACTGCGATAGTAATTATGCACACGATAGCAAATAATATAATTCCAAAATGTAAATAATTTATTTTAGAAATAATACTGGATGTAGGATCTGGTAACTTGTCTAAGCAAAGAGGAACGGTGCTGTTTAATTCGAGAACAAAGCGAATCATGCCTATAACAAAACCTGCCATGAGTCCCCAAAATGCACCCTGTAACAGTAAAGGTATAAAAAAGATATTTTATTTCAAATTGAAAATGAAAACTGATTATTTTACCTTTTCATTGATTCTTGGCCATAAAATGGCAAGAAGATAAATTGCACATATGGGAGGTGACAAATAACTGGAAATACTCTGTATGAAATGAAAGAGTTCTATTTGTGAGGTTTCTATAATTGGTATCCAAGCGATGCTGACTCCAACAAGAATCAGTATAAATATCCTATATAAAAATTATAAATACATTTACATCTGTTCGTCAAGTTTTCCATAGAATTAAAATTTTATAAGTCACCTTCCTACTATCATCAGTTCCATTTGAGTTGCTTGTTTCCTGAAACTTGTCCAGATGTCCATAGTAAAAATTGTGGAACTACTATTAAAAAGTGAAGTGAGCGAACTCATCAGTGCAGCCAAAAGCACAAACATCATCATACCACGAGCACCTGCACATAAAATTTTACATATACTTACAATAAAAACAATAGCAGCAGGCTGATGCTATTGTGTTAAAAAAATCAGCCTGCTGCTTTGGAGACCTGGATCTAATTCCAGGTCAGGAGCTTAGCAATTTTTAGAGGACAGTGTCTTGGATATATCACTTCTTGTCTCTCATGTTAGTATTTTCAGGGCAAAGAGAGTCAAGAAACATAAATAATAAAAAACAAATGTTATTTTGGGCATAGCAATCTCACTATATCCAATATCCAACTTAAAATCTTTGAGTCGAACGTTGAGTTATTAAATAAGACTTACCTGCTGGCATTAGATTCAGAATTAATAAAGGATAGGCGATATTTGTGCAGCCATTTTTGTTTCCACATTCTTCTTGACACTTTTCTGGTTTGGAGCATCCAACAATATCTTTTTAATTTCAATTAATAATAACAAGAAAATAACAATCATTTTTAAATTAATTAAAACATGATGATTTTTTAGAAAAATCTCTTACCTGGATACAAAACTCTGGCTGCCATTCCTGGTAGAACGAGAAGGAAAAGTGTTAATAACTTGATGTAACAGGCAAAAATGCATCCTCCTCTAGCATGTATTATATTTTTGGCAGATAAAACTCTTTGGACAATAACCTGTTTAATTAAAATCAATATCTTAAAAATTACATAAATATATATCAGTTATGAACTTAGATATTAAAATACAAATTAATAATAATAAGATGTAACCTCTTCGAAAACCTGAAAGGTTTCACATATGCTACTGATGAAAAAATGACTTTTTATTGTTACCTCAATGGTGTATTTGGCCAAATTCACATTGGCTGTCTGTCAGACAAGTGATAGGAGCTAATATACAGTAATACCCCAAACTTACGCGGTCATCGCTCAGTCCCACCTATCGCGTAAGTCACGGTATAATTTCGCAATTTGTGTAAAATCCAAGTCGGATGTGTTTAAGCTAATAAATGTTCTCGTTAATCTTATCTCGTCTTTTGATTCGTTCACGGTTACAAGAAATCACCACATAGAGTCTCTCAAATCTCCGTAGATATAACAAACACACAAATAAATAACACAAAATAAATTGTAGCTATGTGTCGATTCCGCGCGACACGTCCAAACATGTAAGCCGAACAATAGCATGGGGGGGTGAATAATTGAGAGTTGTATGGCGCTCAAACAAAAAACGAATCGACGAGATTTGAAAATTGCGTAACTCCGGGTTCGCGTAAGTCGAGGTATTACTGTATCTGGGACAAACCATAAATTCTTGAGGCTTCTGAACCAGAGTAAAACTCTGGTACTCCAGAGCATCAGGATGATGGCTTTGTTATCTTTGATTTGATTATTGAAACTAATGTATGGTATCTTCTTACTTGATCGGTACACCAGTACCATACAGCTGGTATAATAGATCCAAAAGTTACACCGGGCCAAGGAAGATCGGGATCGCTAGCGGGTCTCAGGAGGTGGTCGTAATACAGAGAAATTGCACTACACGATTGATTATTTATGTCATATCTGACATAATCACTACCGGGTTTAGATTTTGGATACTTTTCCATTAATTCTTTATAGCCTCCCACTTTTTCAAATGCTAGAATATTAAAAGTTTGTAATTCTAATTGTAAATAACAGTACCTGGATGAAACTTATACTCACTTAACATCATCAAAATGAATGCACCATTGACCATTAACACAGTCTGTATAGAATCTGTCCACATGACTGCAGTTAGACCACCTGAAATAGCAAATGTATGTTGTAAATGTACTGAAATATTATACTCTTTAAAAAGAATATAACAATTACTTGCCAGATATTGTAAAAAGTGCAGAGATTATTAGTAATGCTAAAATGGAGCCATACAAGTCCAATTTGATTGTCTGTTTTATAAATATTGCCCCTGCATACAAATCTGCCTTAAAGTAAATATTAAATTAATACATTTACTTATTATAGACATTAGATGATTTATGGTTATATATTAGGTCCATTTTTAGACAATTACCTATTTTAAAAATAAAATAGTCAATAGAAAAATTATTTATTTTTTTCTTTTAAATCTCTGGAATTGAACAAATTGAATTTATTTTTATGGTACCATTACACTTTGGTGCTTCATTTTTGTCTATTATGGACACACCTAATCTTCAGCAGAATAACTCAGCATGGGTAAGAATCCAATTAAGCCTCTGATGAAAATTTATGAAAATGTGCATTGGGTTCAAACCAGGATCTTTCTTGGAGTTGGAAAATGTCTTACCTTTATTGGGCAATTTCAATTTTTTTATGATGTGACCACATAATCTAGCAATTGATTATCAATGTGAGGCACCAGAACATTGTAGACTCTCTGGCCAGCCACAAGTTTTCTTGTGTAATGGGGTCGACTGTAGAGGCAGGATGAGAGACAATGCTCCAATCTCTGCAGTACAGTAATTTATGGTGATTTAAACCAAGTTTGAACCTAGTTCCTCATGGACCAAATGCCTGGCCACGTAGCCATCTTCCTATTCACCATATGTGATTTTGATGGGTGTATGGCCAAAGTAGCAAAGTCACTATAATGTAACTTTTGACTGGCTTAAAAACTGAGTGGATTACTCATATATTTTGGTCCTCATATTCATCCATTGATATGCTCCCATTATGGGCTCAAATCCACAATGGGTATGATTACATATAGTCAAAACTAGAAACAGTGAAGACTTACCGAAATCTTAGTAAATACATATAGAAACAGTGTAAGAGTTGATAGATAAATCCCTATTCTTCGGCCTCCGAAACGTTTCCTAACGTATTCAGGCATTGTGTATATCTTTAAAAAAAAAAAAATACAAATGTTTGTATTTCATTTTATCTACTGTAATAAAAATAATCAACAATAAATTGTTATATAATCATTAATCACCCAATTTTTGCAATTAAACATTATTTCCATGAAAGCAAAGAAACAAAAATGTTTTGTGTTTCATAGGACAGATTGTTTGAAAGAGAACTGAAAACATTGTTCTCCATCTTTTTATTCTTATTTAAAGGTGACAGTTCCATCTACTTTTCAATCACCAATATGGGCCTTTGGGCACGATTTGCAAAACGTGGTACCACTGTACGAGGCATAGATCGCCGAGAAGTTAACGTGGCAGCCCACTAATCTGGGAAATCTGCCATCAAATCCATACAGTTCGTAAAACCCCAGGAATTTTTTGGGATTGGCCTCTCTGTATATGTCATACTGTCCTTCGCCACCCAACTAGCCCATTTGTGGGCCTGGCCAAACCTATAATGGGCTTGCTAAAAGGCCTTTTTATTATTAAAAAGTTTTCAGAAACTTTATTTTTTAATATTCCAGTGGTACTGTGAATGTCATCCATAGTATACACTGTGTGGGGAATGATACCTCTAATATACATACAGATAGTTATTACACTTTGGTAGTGATATCGTAATTTTTTGGCCAACAAAGCTTGCTAATCACGTGAAAATTACAGTCCAGAGCTATAAATGCCACAGGAACAATTGGACAAAGCAACTGAGCTGGATAAAACATAAAACTCCCACATAGTATAAGCGACACATAGTTTCATGAGAGGTAACAGTGTGCCCCCAAAGTTAATCTGCACAAGTGCAAGACTTTGTAGCAGACACTAGCAAGGAAAATTGCTATACGCTAGCATTTCTTCATAAACTCTGGGATGAAATAAACATTCTGGAGCACACTGTTCTGGTATTAATTGTTCAAAAAATAAATGTGTTTGGAATGAGTTATCAGTTTTTAGATTTCCAAAAGACCCTGAAAGGTAGCGTAGCATTTTTAGTATAAATACTGTAGATTATGCAATCTTATTGTTTATTACATTTCCTTTAAATATATACTGACATACTATTGTATTTACATATTAAAATAAAAGTTTGATTAAAGTAAATAAAAACAAAATTATCCCATTTTATATAAAATTGTTTCATTGTCTAAAATATTGCATTTTCTTTTAAACTAGGCCAAGACAATGGAATATATTAAAATGAAAATGGTCTAAGTCACATTTTTTTCACTTTTAGGTTGGTAAAAATTAAATATTTTTTTATTATAAAGTAAATATATTTATAGATTTTTATGTAGTTGTTAATTTATACAAATATATGGTTAATGAAAGCAAACCACTATTAAAATCTGAAACCACAGATCACTTTCATAATCATCAGATCAATTATTTAATCTGTATAAATAAAATTCAATGCCTGTCTCTCCTCTACACACCTCTTAACTTTTTCACTGGTAATTAATATGAAAAATATCACAGTATAAATACTAATTACAGCAATTCAAAATGATCCTCCATTTTTGCTAATTTGGAATGCAGTTCCAACTATATTTAGCATTCCAAATCCTCCATCACAAATATAACATCATCAATATCCACTGAAAAGACACAGATCTTCAGTCGATATTACCACTAAGAAAGATAGATATGTTATCCCTCAACAAACACAATCTAATGCTATCACACAACTTGCGTTAACTTCATCAGAACCAGGAATGGTGAAGCAGACACACAACAGTTTTTATTAAACATCACAATCCCTTTCCAAGATATGAGCAAAACTACTGATGATACTGCAGAAGTTGTAAAAAGCTGTGAAACATCTACTTCAGAAGATACTGAAGCACATAAGTTCAGTTGAATAGATGAAGCTTCCATTCCCATTGATGGTGTTTTTGCATATGTTTGTGAAACAAACATACATATGCCAGGCCTACTTCAGAAAAACAATCACTCAGTTTCAATGGAGTGGCACATGATCCTTTGATCATGTGGCACTCCATTGGACTGGCCTGTAAGTGAAATTACTTGTCGCTTATTCTATGACTGGCACAGTTTCTACGTGTACCAGGATATGTGATGTGATTTCAATTTTAAATTTAATATTTTCCAATATTATAATTATAATTTTTGAGTTTTTATGTATTGTACATTAATTCAAAAATTATTGTAAAACAATTATGTAAAATAAATGACAATGTTAAAGAGAGCTCGGAAGAACAGGAAGACAAGTAGGTATGAATACAGTCCAACGACATACAAGAATAAAGTAAAACAAATCAACTAGGTGAGGATTTAGGTGGTGTGCAGAGCGCCCCTTTCTGAGGTTTTTCCCGAGTAAAGCCTGGTACCTCAGGTAGTGAAAATTTTTGTAACAGGTGTTATTTTCATTCTGCACTCCCTTTGAGGATTTATGGAGCCGCTATTGTCTAGATTCACCATAGACAATCAACAGAAAAGTTTTTACACGAATTTCCATAATAATTGTTTATTCTAAAATCGGACTTATCATATTAAAACAATTTTTAACGGGTAAAAATTTATTTTACTTACTCCGGAAGCCATGTACACCGGAAGGAATAGCCAGCCCAAAGCTAGAAGAACATACTGTGCCTAGAATTAAAAACAAACGTTTTCTGTACATAACCATTTATTATATAAATATATTTAAGTTTTAACGCGTAACAAATGAAAAACTACGTACATTTAATTCAAAAGCTGCCATTCCAATTCCGAATCGCGCACCCGCACTGGCTAAACCAATGAAATGCCCGCTTCCTATGTTGCTGGCAAACAGGGATGCTCCTATCTGAAAATGTACATAAGAACATAATTATGTTTAAACGAATCAATGAGAGTTCAATAGAGTTGGATCTTCGTTTATATTCGGAATTCGAGAAATTTTCCGGTCTTTGTCAATTGTTTGATGAAGGGGTTTCTGTATTGCCAACGAGACAATGCAACAGTTGGGCAATCTGACAACGGGAGGACTTTCAATGGAAAGTTGGCACACCAAGAAAATCGGAAAACAGCGGCCAACTAGCAATGTTCTGCACTAAATCATTGATGGACACGGTTTGGTCATAAAGGGATTAGTGTGTTCTTTGTCTTACGCGTATAATTAGAAATACTCTAGCGGATGGCTTCAATCCATCTCTTAACTGAGTCAACTCAATATCCAACACACAGAAGTTAAGTAAACAAGGAGACGATGGATCTCCCTGAGGGATACCAACGAGTTATTATAAATTTTGGAAATGTTTAGTTACCACGTATTATACTAACTTTATATTTAGAAAACTTTAAAATTGAAGTTGGAAATTTCTTTCCGGGTCCTTTCAAGTTTATTAAGAGTGTTTGAACACGAAGTGAATCAATTGCCTCGGTTATAGCAACAAAGTTCTCTGTTAATAAGATGTAATTGAATTAATGACGACAAAAACTATGAGATGAAACTACAATATTTATGGTGATAGGAAAATAATCCGATATATCGCGTGTTAAAACCTCAAATTTAGTACATTAATTCAGAACTAGTTGTAAAATAGTTATACAAGTTTTTCAGATCAATAATCATTCTATATACGACCACTCAATATATATAACCTGAAATCTTGCACCGACTTTAATAAATTAGGTCTTAAATTTAAAACTTATTAGGTTTTCGGGTATTATATATCGGTTCATTTCGACCATCCAATAACTGCTCTATTCTGGAGTTAAAATCTCCGATAATTAATATATAAGGAGGTTAATGTGTCCATCGATCTAACAATTTAAATGCATCACACACAGTCTGGAGAAATGTTTATACTTTGTTTAAACAAAAATTCAACACCGTTATTTTGAATACGTAGTATTATCAATCAGTGGCGTGCCGTGACATTCGACGATAGGGAGGCTGTTTCTGTAAAAAGGCCATTTCCAGGGACAATTAGCTAATTGCGCGTCAACCAGGGTGTAGGGGAATAAAATGTGTGGTGGGTGTACCGGTACATACCCGGTACAAAATATTCTTCAATCTTACGAATATACTTTTAAAGAAAATTATAATTAAATATAGCTTTGTAAAGAAACGTATATAAAAATAACATAAAATATTTTTTAATTTTTACATCTTAATGCACTTAGTCAAATAGCTCCCTCCCTTCAAGTGGCTAATGGATGGAATCGGAAAGTGGAAAGACTAATTTTTACGACAAACGAATACATAAATCGTAAATTTAAGGAATATAAATTCTAGAGCTTTTTCTGTACCTGGTGCGTCTCTCTCATTCATTACATTTAGTTGTCAATGATGCTGCCAAAGTAACAGTTCGTTTTTTAACATTGTACAAGAATTCCCTTCTGCATCCCCCTTAAGGATGGGACGTACTAAATCGTAATATCACCGGTTTAACATTGAAATCTGTAAGTAATACAAGATAGGAGAGCGGAATGAAAGCGAGATAAATATATCAAATGTTTTAATGGATTTTTTTTAAAACTCCCGTCAACTATCAGCGCCCGCTCAAGCATTTATGTCGCCCCGGACAAAAAGACAAATTGCCGACCGTTAAATTTATTTAGAGAGAGAAATATGTAATTTAAAATTAACAATCAAGTAGTACGAAACAGTAAAAATTAAAATATACCTCTACCTAGTTACAAATTGTTAACTACATGCATTTTTAATGATATTACAAAAATGTATTATTGTACAATCAAACAAAGAACTTACATCCTATAAAAACTAAACAAAATTACAGTACAATAACTATACTAAAAAAGTTTCTTTCGATTTTCAAAAGAAATTTTTTTCTCATTTTTATTGTTGCTTACGCTTTCCTTTTTGCCCAAAAGCAGTCTTTCATGGTTGTTTTCTTCGGTATTAAGGAATTCAAATATTTTCTTGGCTTTTAGGCAAAAATAATAAATACGAAATGTAAATCGCGTGGTAATTTTAGCCACAGAAATAAATCTTCAAATATAAATTTTGATTAATTAAGTATTTAACTTATCAATATTTTGTCACATTCGCAACCAAAATGCCGCCCTTTAGATTTGACACCCCTAGAGCGGGTCCTATCATAAAAGCGTACCTGTAAACTCCTATCGGTTGGGTTAAGTCATAAATGTACTCGCGATTCGCGTAATCGGATGAGAGCGGCCAAATATCTAGCCGGCGGGAGGCTAACGACCATAACCTGTCCCGGATAGAATCGTTGGAAGCGCTAGACGATATTTTGGTGCGTAGCTTCCACCACGAGATTGATGTTCTGTAAATGCATTGATGCACATTACTTCATATTCCTGTGTTCAACCTTAAACATGTATAAACTGGTTATGCTATTGCGGTACCAGTGATGCAATAATGTTGCATTAATAAAGAGATTGTGTGTGTGTGTGTGTGTGATGTTCCGTAAGGCGCATACGCAAATACAATCTGCCTGCTTTACACCATTCAGATATTTTCGCCGTATTAGACGACACAGCGCTTCCATCCGCCAATGATATTCCAATATACAATAGCGATCTTATCGTTTTTTCACGTGTAGTATAGAAATACGTAATAAAATACATAATTAAAATTAATATTTTTTTATAATCGCATTAATTCAAAGTACGTTATAATTTGGAAATAATCGCGCAATATGTATTTATATTTTAGAACAGTGTTTTTCAATCTTCTTGAATACGCGACCCCTTTACGAGTTAAAAAAATTCTGGCCACCCCCCAGGGCCATATTAAAACTATATCAGCGATTTTAAAAACTACGTATTTAATTTTCTTTCTGTTTGAGACCTAAATATCGATCGAAAAAGCAATTGTACTTTAAAATAAAAACGCAAAGCCTTCTCACTGAAATTCTAGTTTTATTTATTGTAGTGTAGGACCTACAAACACTTGTCTTTTTCTTTTACCCGCGACCCCCAGGGGGGTCGCGACCCACAGGTTGAAAAACACTGTTTTAGAAAATGCGAGGGAAGCGGCGCTTCCACCGCTTTCAAAGATGGCACGCTACTGTTATCAATATAAAATTCTCAAATTTTTGAATTTGTATAACTTATCCTAATTCTTTTTTGATTAATGCACACAATCCTCCAAACGGACGACCAGGTCCTTTTAGTTTTCGAACAACTCGTTCCATCATCCGTGTTTGTTATACCAAGAAGGTCGGACCTCATTATTAATTATACAAGCTCTGTACTAGTCAATTTGCTTAAAGTCCAGATACGTATACTGTCATGGCGGCTCATCTCTGATTCCTGCAAACAGTGGGGACGCACATTCTAACCTAACCTAACCTAACCTAACCTATTCTAATAAATTACCATAATTATTACCAATCAAATTATTAGAATAGGTTAGGTTAGGTTAGGTTAGAACGTGCATCCCCACTGTTTGTTGGAATTAGAGATGAGCCGCCATGACAGTATACGTATCTGGACTTTAACCGTCAATTTGTATTTTAATCCCTGACAATTCCAATCAGTAACTATTAAATTTAAACCTTTCGACGAATTAGCGAGATGGTTTTAAAATCATTAATGCCATAATTCATAGTATCTAATTCGTCTTTAATTAAAGAAATTTGATCGACTAACTTCTCATTACTAGAAGTTATTAGGTCTACAATTCTAGACCATAAAACTGCAGTTGAAATGTTTGCATTATCTTCGGACGGTAAATCTCGACAAAAAATTTAAATTACTTATCTCACCCGATGCAGAATTGGAGTCAATCAAATTTTCTTCCGTATTATCAGTTCAGTTATCAATTTCGTATTCGAATACGTAATTTTGTATGACTTACTTGACGATGGTCTTCCTCTTTTAGACTGAGATCTTTGCAAAAGACCCGGATTTAACTCCATTCCAGAAATAACTAGTAATAACTAAATTGTAAGTCATTTTCTATAAGATAACTTTAACAATACGCTTCCAAACAAAGCACCAACTCCCAAGTAAGATCGGAGTGCCCCTCCCCAGATACATTGTTAATAGGCATTGTACAGTACTTACAGGAAACCAATGCATGCTCCTGTTCGCTAGGAAGTAACTGCTGACGTTGTCGTTGGTATACTTGCAAGACGACTGGAAAAGTAAAAAAAAAAGAACATTAAGTGCACCTCTTCCTCACATTACCTTGAAACTACAACTGATCTCGAGCGTAACATTCATTTTACAATATTAAAATTAATTAATTATTCAAAACGTTTACACATCCAATAGGGAATTTTGTAGAAAAATCACTTACCCAAAATCCTACGACAAGCACCAGCGCAAAAAATAAAACCAGCATTAAAATGTCCTCCCAGTACAGCTCCGTATTCCCTATTTTCCCAGCGGAGTTCGAGTACGAATCGTTATAGAAACTGAGTATATAAAACTGTCCCATTGCGGAGCGAATGAAATTACAGAAATGGCGACGTTCGGACGAAATCTATACACTTTAAACGCGACATTAGTAGTGTAATACAGCATCTATCGTGTTACGAAATAGCAATAACCGGTTTCCCTAGAAGAAATTTAATGATAAACTGATATAATCTATACGCAGCGTAAAGAAAAATAAATAATTTGGCAGGCAATTAGTGTACACGGTGCCTATAAAGTCTCTACAAGAGTGCCATTTGAATGTCTCCCGATCTCTTAAGTCTTTTGAATCCGCGAATTGAATCCCTATGATAAATCCGGTAGACGATTGATGGTCTCTGTGCAACTAACAGTTCTTATAAATTGCTTTAATTCTCTTATTGTTTACTATTAATGCTACTATTTAAAAGTATACGTATGCGGGTAACTTCTTACACCTTGACCCGCTGTGAACTAACTCGTTCTATACGAGTTCGTGCGGGTCAAGGTTTATAAACTGTAATTTACCAGTAAAAACAAGAGTTCTCTGGACACTTCCTCTCGGCATTTTTTGCCAAGGACGAACGTTTATTTATTGTACTGTCATTTACTAAATTAATGTGAATTAACACAGCAGCTAACACCGTTAAACATTTAACGTACAGAACACATCGGCGTTAAACAGGAAAAGAAATTCAGTTGTCCTGTATATTATTTAACAAGAGACTCGGAGTAGTAGCCACGTGTTTAAACATAAAAATTGATTGAAGCCTTTACTTCTCTGTTTACCAGACTAGGATACTGCGAAGGGCTGGAATTTGATTAAAATCTCGCATAAAATTTAAAAGAAAAGGTTATTAATTATTAGTTTGTTGTTTGTTCTAGTGTCGTCCAGATTATGGCACTTATGGACAGTTCGCCTTACTAACTAGAGGGCGTTGTGGTGATCGCCGTTTGAATCAGTGTTGCCAATTCTCTGGAAATTGTCCGATTTTTGGGTATTTTCAACCACGGTGGTGGGTAATTTGGTGAAAACTTTAGGATAAGATATTAAAAGTTAAATACATTTGTTACAGTTTTCATTTATTCGCACTCTTGACGAGCATTTCGGTACAATAATTGGTTCATTTGGCTTTAATTAAAACAATGAGATAGGTGTATGTAGAGAGAACTGATTCCTTACAGTATTTTATTAAATCATAAATAATTTATTAGGCCATCTTTACAAATGAATAGCTAATTTTAGGCATATTCTAGACACTATAATATATTCTGTAACGTTCTGGACAAGAATTTACACTGGAAACTGCAGTATATACATTATCATGCGATATCCTTTATACGAAATATAAATTAGAAACATTAAAATTTCGATATAGCTTTCTCCTAATTAGAGATTCCTCCTAAATTAAGACTCTTACGCGAATCTTCCTCATAAATATTAAATACTTTCGGCATTTATAAACTACAATTTTGCATGGCAAAAGGCTTTGTTAACACCCAAAATCGGGTGATTTTTCGAGCTCGAACTTGTAAATAAACCTCATTACTACAAACTCTTCGATTTAGCGCCACACTCGATTTATTGCCATCCACCGAGACAAGAAATGGCGGTGTTAAATCGAAGTTTTATTGTATTTCTCGTCATTTCTGTCAGTCTAGTGTGCTTGAGTAAACATAATCTTGGACTAATTCCTCTAAATTACGTCCAGACACCACGAGAAAACTTTCAGCATCCAAATTAATGTGTAATTTACAGTAAAAGTATATATATTTAATTATATATTTAGTGGTAATTAAGTTTGTTCTATGCGAAATAACCATAAAGAAAGGATGCTATTATCAGGACAAACACAGCATTCATGTTGCAGACAGTTTCCAAAATTGGATTATCATTCGTAAATTGCAATGCTCTTCTTACTTCTTCTTGTGGAGAAATTTTCTCCATTTCGTGATCTTTATTCTTCCTTAAAGTTTCGCTTATTCCACAAACAATATAAAATGCTCTTGTAGTAAACGATGGTTCGGATGCTGTAATGAAAATAATAATTCATTTCAAGCAATTTACTATTCTTAATTTTTACTACAGATATAATTAGTGTAGAATCGTAGTTAAAATACCCCGTATTGAAGGTTGTCTGGACAGACATTTAACAGTCCAAATGCAGTCAAATATGTATGGCGACATTTTGGAACAGGCGAGAGACATTTCCATAAAATAAACTAAAGCTAAAAGTTACCGCTGTGGCACATTTTGAGCTACAAGAATAGAAAAGGCAGTTTTCTTTTCATAAGTACATGTATTTTAGCAAAGTGACCACAAATGTTGAATGTTACACTTAGCTACAAAGGCCACCTTGCCGGAATATACTCCAATAATGCAAATGACGTGTATTATATACTATGGTTCAGTTCAGTTCGGAACGTACAGTACTTAGAAGGTTGGTGCATTTTTATTCTTATATGAATAAAAATGCACCAACTTCGAGCAGTTTCTCGCTGCCAATAAAGAACCTGATTGACCTTTACGTTGACCTTCCTTGCCAGAATGGAAGATCCTGTGGATTGACGAGGCACATTTTCACTTTCGATAGGACAGTGAACGCTAACTTTCGCATTTCAGCCATGAAAAGCCCCATATTTTCCAGCATGTCCCATTCTACTTGCCTGAAGTTACAGTGCTCAATAACGGTCTAGAATTATCGAAAGATACTCAATAACAAAACTGCAACAGCGACGTGTGATTTTTTGATTGTGCGAACAATTATTGTGGTTTATTGAAAATATTTCACAAATTATCAGCCTCAAAACATAGCATCACATTGCTATGAGAAGAATGCACTATTCCCTGAATCGTTAAGGTATGAGTTTTTTGCGCTCGAAGCGCTAAAAGTGCCATAGTGGCTTCTTTTGCTACTAATTATTTTATGGAGATGTCTTCGGCGTATTGAAACGTTACCATACCAGATTTAGTTGCGTATTGACCACTAAATATCTCTCTAAACAGCACTGAATGGGGGTATTTTAATTACGATTACTCAGTACAAAAAGTTGGAAAATAATACTGACCAGTTCTTTTATTTCTGTCTTCAATTTCACTTTGTTGAATGTTTGAATCGTTGTTAAACATTTGAACGTCTTTTTCTTCAAAGAATTCCGGGTTTTCTATCCCTTCTGATAGTCCATCCATTGTTATGGTTTCTGAATATGTTTCGTTTAAATCTTCCCTCAATTCGGGACTATTTTTGGTCCAAAATGTCAGTCGGTACAACTATTAACAACAAACAAATTATTTAATGTACATTAGTATAATTTTTTAGGCAGGTTCGGATTTAGAGCTGTTGTAAACCTACGCTGTGAGGTCATCCCCCATCACGCAGTAGAAATTTAAAAGCGTGCAGCCCCAACTCGTAGCCTCTTGTTAATCCGGCCCTGCCATTAGCACACGGTTATATTTTGTAATTTTATACTTACACTCTTCTCTGGAATGGGTTTTGTCATTAAACTAACAACAGTGGCTATTATGCAGACTGAGACGAACAATATACATCCGAAATGTAAGAAGTGAACTTTGGAAATGATAGCGGGTCTAGGATCAGGTAATTTTGAAGCGCAGGGAGGAACCGTATAGGAGTATTCTATCCCGAAACGAATCAAACCCATGACCAGTCCGGACACGAGTCCCCAAAATGCACCCTAAAATACGAAATAAGTGTTAGAAAATCGCACAAATATTCCGAATAAAAACCTCGCCTCTCTTTCTTTACCTTTTCGTTAATTCGTGGGAATAGAACAGCTAAAAGAAAGACTGCACACACGGGAGGAGACAGATAACTCGATATGCTTTGCACGTAAAGAAACAATTGACTTTCGTGATTATTCTTGATGATTGGTATCCAAGCCACACCGATGGCCACAAGAATTAATACAAAAACTCTGTAAAAGGTTATATAGTTTTTTTTTCGTAAATACTCGTATAAACTTTAAAAAATATATAATAATTACCTTCCCACTATTAGCAGTTCCATTTCAGAAGGGTGCTTTCTGATTGTTGTCCACACATCCATTGTGAATATAGTAGTACTACTGTTAAAAATCGAGGTGAGAGAACTTATTAATGCACCTAACATCACAAATAACATCATGCCACGAACGCCTGTAAGACAACTTATCATTTACATGCACATAAACTATGTAAAGTAATTTATCTTAATATAAGAGTAGTGTTTAGTAAAGTAAAAGAACAATACAGATTTACAATTCTTCGCGTTACTTCTCTTCATTTACATTCCATGAAGTGCAAACTAAGAGAAGAATTAGCTAAAAGAAGAGTGAAGAAAAGGATGAAGACACACGCAGAAAAGATGTAGTGTTTTTATATCTTAAGTATTGAAAATACCTGCTGGCATAAGATGAAGAACTAATTGAGGATAAGCGATATTTGTGCATCCGTTCGCATTGCCGCAGATTGCTTCACACTTCTCCGGATTGGAACAAGCAAGGATATCTGTTATTCAATAAATTTGGCAAGTGATTAGTTAATAATACAATTGTGACAGCGTATCATCGTCGAATGCATACCTGGAAACAATACTCGTGCGGCCATACCCGGAATTACTAGAAAGAATAGTGGGCTTAATTTACAATAACCCGCCAATATGCATCCTCCTTTAGCGTGAGTGATGCTCTTTGCCGATAAGGCTCTTTGTACGATAACCTACGAAAAGAAATAAATTGTTAATTCTATGATTTTTCCAGTGTTGGGAACGAACATCTTCAAATATACGACTGATTCGTCATGCTGAACCCTGCGTAAAAAAGAAAGTATGAGCACTCTTAGAACAAATACAGCTTTTAAAGGCGGAAAGAGCGTATGGACACTAAGAGGGCCTTTCTAGTAGGCCCATTGGAGGTTCCGACAGTCCACAATGGTCAGCCGGGTGGTTATGGATGGCACCCGCTATATTCTTGAATTTGTCGATCCGTCCGGGTTCGACTCAGGTTCTCCAGATTGGTAAGTCTCCACACTAATCTGCATCACCCGTTTATTCCTACACCAACAATGTTACAGATTAAACCATTGAACACGGTTGGTAGTGGGTTCGCACCTCCACGTGGAGTTTTCCATTATCATCTAACATTTGAATAGGGGCCAGTTTACAATAAAAAGTCAATAATAAAGACTTTGCAGCTTCATTTTTGGTTAGGATAATGGCAACTAATCCCAAGTTTAGATACTCACAATTTGTTTGTTTACGGTAATACGACACGTGGGCGATCTGCCAAGGGGAAAGACTTTCCAAGAGAAACCGGCCCCTATATAGATTAGGTGTTACAGGTATTTAGGTTTACCTGATCGGCACACCAATACCAAATGGACGCTATTGTCGATCCAAACACAACACCCGTGAAAGGGAGCTCCGGATCCGTTACGGGCCTCATAAAATGTTTATAATATGGATTGGGTAAGCTGCAAGATCGGTTATTTCTATCGTAACCGACTAAACTTTCGTTTGTAGGTACGGCAGTTGCATACTTTTCCATTAACTTATTAAAGCCTCCTATTTGAATTAGACCTAAAATAAGAAAAGTTAAAATTAACTTTTATTCGTAAATTCCGTGTTATAAATCGTGACGAAACTCACTGAGGATCATCAGAACTAGCGCACCCGACAGCATTACTAAAGTCTGTATAGTGTCAGTCCACATAACCGCTGTTAATCCGCCTGAAATTTTGTGTTTTATAACAGATTATATAACAGCTAATATTAATTTTAATTGATAAAACTTTTAATATTACTTACCGGTCATTGTTACTAAGGCTGCGATGATTATTAATGTTAAAACAGAGCTATACAGTTCAAGTTTTATGGACTGGTTAATAAACAATGCTCCCGCGTATAAATCCGCCTGAAAATGTAAATTTTATTAGTCTAGATTTTACGCGGTGATTCTTTACTTTTTGTAGAGTTTTCTTTGTCATTTTACTGTATTTGTCTGTAAGAAAATATTACAATAAAAAAGAAATAGGGTACCGAAATTTTAGTGAAGACATAAATAAGAAAAGCCAGAACGGCTAAATAAATTCGAATTCTTCTTCCTCCGAAACGTTTTCTGAGATATTCGGGCATCGTGTATACCTGAAATTAAGAAACAGAATATATTCATAGTGTGAAAATCTTATGCAATACACGGTCCTCCCTCAAATTTAATGTTTGATTACAAATGAAAGAAGAAATGTACAAATCTTATTCAGATACCATTCAAACCAGAATGCCAATGGCGGGTGAACCACCGTACACTGATCTTATACGGTGGTTCACTCGGTCACGTGGAATTTTCCGGGTCTTCTTCACCTTTGTAACACCTAACTAGGGTCAATTTCCCATAGAAAGTTCTCCTGGGAGCTATCCCCTCTCGGCAAATCGCCCACGCGTCAACTTTCCGTATATAACCAATCCAAAACCAGAATGTCGAAACCATTTACATCATATTGTGTTCAATAAGTTTACTTTGAAGAATATTTATATCATAGAAATCATCGTGAAAGGAATTTATTTGCTCTTCGTATTCTCCAGATCTGAACACTCGAAATTTCTATCCGCGGAGACATTTTGAGGATGAAGTGGACCAAACTAACCATAAGACTAGAGGAGCTCGTGGCGAGTTTAATGTCTTCTGTATTCCTAGAGATATTTTTAAAGTGTGATGCCGTAGTTTTGCATCACATTTCGTAAGATTGGAGTAGCACAATCGGTGGTTTTTCCAGTGTTTTTCAACAGGTGTGCTGCTAAATATGGTGCTGTCCAGCACCATATTTAAAACACATTAAATACATTGTAACGTAAGTAGATGGCTTCGAGTGCCGATTACGATATTTGAGTAAGATTTGTTACCTTGTCCTGAAAACAGTTAACTAACTTTTGGGTCACTGTATGCCCATGATAATGTACTTTTGGTTCTTCGTGTATAGAATATACGAACTTACCCCGGATGCCATATAGACTGGGATGAAAAGCCAACCCAAAATTAAAAGAACGAATAAAGCCTGCAATGTAAAATACAGTATTATACCTTACACGAAAGGATTACCCGCGTTATTCAGTGAAGAATTTTCCTACATTTAGTTCGTAGACAGCAATTCCTATGCCTAAACCAGCACCAGAACCGGCCAGTCCAATAAAATGCTCGCTTCCTATATTACTAGAAAACAAAGATGCACCCACCTGAAAAATTTTATTAAATTTACACAATTAATCTATGTCTAACTAAATACACGAAGGGAGGATCCGAAATTCGGTTAACCGAATAATAATAAATTTAATACAATAGCTAGTCACAATTCATTTTTCGTTCGGTTAACTGACTTTCGGGCTACCCTGTATTAATTATTATTCTTATTATATTCATTTATATTTACCATAAACCAGTTCATACTTCTGTTGGCAAGAAAGTAACCACTGACGCTATCCTTTGTACTCTTGTAGGACGACTAAAATTATCCCACCCCCCAAAAAACAATTACTTTTTAGTAAAAATACAGATAAAAATTTTAATATGATTAATAATTGATAACATTCATTCGCTTACGGTACTGTACGTAAGATAGAGGGTGGCCCAAAAGTCAGTTAACCACAATGTATTATTTTGAGTGCAGTTAAAACCAAGGTTGGAACAATTGTAATCGCTAATAATATTGAAATATATCTTGGTCAACTGACTTTTGGTCCACCCTGTATGCATATTTATGAAACTTTTTAAGTGTTTTAAGTGTCTTTGGGCTGCACTAATCGCGTTTAAAAATTTACGTATTTCCCCACCCCTTTATAACATTTCCCCCCTTTTAAATGAATTAATTTCGAATTCTCAAGGGGGGATTTCTTTTACTGAAAGTGATTATTTAAGTTATGAGTTGATGAAATGTTTACATTCAGCACTCAAATATAAACAATATGTGGAAATTGTTTTCATAATATATTCTGAGTAATCAGTTTAAAAAAAATTTAATTACTCCAAAAATAACAATAGTATATAAGAAAATACAGTAAAACAATATAAAATATTTTTTTATTATTATTGCAAAATACGGGGTGGTCCAAAACTCAGTTAACACTTTTTTTTTATTTCGTTTGATTCGAGTACCCTTTTGAATGTAGTCGATACAGAATTGTTGGAGCGTGATGAGTTAATTTAGTTAATTTAATTAATTAATTGCCGTTTAGTCCTTACACCGGTTAACTGAGTTATGGGCCACCCGGTTTTATAAGTGTTCTTATTTAAGTAATTTCGCAGTGTATTCTTTATCAGGAAACAATGTCTTACCGGTCAGAGCATTACCTACGTCACGTAATATCGTCCCTTAATGTACTGTACAATGCATTAATTACTTTACCGTGTACTTTACGTAACATAAACAACTATTAACCACTTATTCTATCTCATTAAAGAAAAATATATTTGAATTTTGCAAGTAACTCCAACAATATCTACATTATACAATAAATAAAATACGAAAATTATTATAAAGCTAAAAAAAATATATATATATATACATAAATAATATATTGTGAAATAATGGAAAATATTCACCCCTTACATATGTTTATACTATAATATATTTAAAATATAATAATAATATTTTTATACAGAATTTACGCTACTCTGCTTAACAATTAAATAACAATTTCATTTTTTTAATGCGATTAATATATAATTGTCAATAGTAAAAACATAGATCAAAGTCTTGGCAAAATACATCACGCGAGGGGTCGACTTTTCACGCGATTTAAAGATTTAGCATTGGGGGCCATCTCCCACAACGTCACACCAGCAAACACACTAAGAATACAGCGTATAAAAAAGGGACACGAGGAGGAGGAGAATAGGGGAGAGCCAGGCTTCACCCAATGATAAATGTTTATGACCCTGTTCGTAGGGCTCTGATCACGTGAGAATCGTACTAAAAGACCATCTAAACACTACTTATACCCGTAAGATTCTATATCTACAGTACATATTAAATTTATATCCCACATCTTTATATAGGAAGGCCAAATAACAGTAAATGCAGCAACACGGGAACAATAAAATCAGTATGTTTTTTTTTGTATTTTAATAGTTAAAGTCACAAAATACTCGTGTTAATAATTCGTTTATGACGAAAATATTCTATAAATAATTAATTGAAAAATAATAAAAATCTGATTATTCATCAACAATATTCCATATTTTACGTATCATGGTGTAACTGTACCTTGATAAATGAATGCATCTACTAACGATTATTTAAACTTAAAATATAAAATAATAAGTTATTTTCTACAATAAAAAATATATTATAATCTTAAAAAGTCAATTAATAATAATAAAAACATATTAAATCGGGTTAAAATATTATAAATTGTTATTAATCTCGTGTATAATTTTTAGTTTTTAAAGTATAAAATGATTGTAAACTTACCCAAAATCCAATAAATATAAGAAATACAAAATATATAAGAATTACTAAAATGTCCTCCCAGTATAGTTCGGTGTTTCCTATTTTATCCATTATTTTTTCCCAAGTTATCAATACGATTAATCAAAATTATGGTCTTTGTATGAAGCCAGAAGTGGGATGCATGGATGAAGGACGAAAGAATTCTCTACGAGTACAATTTTGTAAGAGAAATTTACTCATACGTATAATTCTTGACGTCATAACGTTGCAAACACTTTATATTGTCATGCTGAAGTACAAAAATATCAATTATTTCTTATAGATTTAGTGTTTTTTTCTTTCAGCGCCAAGTATTTTATTTATAAATAATTCGAATCGGTTATTTATTGTTATTTTTATACCGTTTTGTTAAATATCCTTAAACGTTTCTTTTATAATAATTAGTTCATACGCTTGCTTATCCAGCGTAAGGATGACCCATTAATTACGTAACGCTACGTTGTAACGCTCTTTATCGCAGTCACACACCCACTCGAGAGGAGATCGAAGAGGTTTAGAGGAGTTTATTCTTTTCCCATTGACATAAAAATAAATTAAAATTCCGTCCTCCCATAGCCAAATTATAACCACGACACACGGGATACTCAACGTTACATTACTTATTAATTTTATGTACAACTAGAAGCCAGTGGCACAAACAGTGCCGTTCGCTATGCGAGATTTCTTTGTATTGCGATATTCTGTATTTTTGTGTAAAAATGGTGCCAAACTGAAATCTGGTTGGTGCCATTTCCTTCGTTATTTTATTGCCCTTTACTGGTACACATTGCAATCAAAATACAGTATTAAACAGTATAATGATAAAGAAACAGTCTTTTTCCTCTTGTAAAAGGAATGCCATCCCGACTGCTAAGTTTCTGTGAGTCTCAGCTTGCTTCTTGAAATTTTTCGGCTCGTTTTTAATGTCTAACACCTTAATAAGAGCCGCTTTTTCATAGAAAGACCTCCGAAAAGGATTTCCCTTGGAGAAGGCGCTGGTAAAAATATAAAATTTATATGTATTGGCAGACAAATAAGTTATAAAATTAAGTTAAAACTTGACGAAAATGAAAGTAACCGGGCATTAATACGGACGGATGATACGAATGGTGGCATCGATTGGCTTATCCAGCCGTATTAAAGCCCTATTATCGGGCAAACCGCTACACCGACGAAGGCTCCCCTTACGTCTTTCGAAGCAACTAAAAATTCGATCTTGAAATATCGAACATGTTCCCCACTTGATGTTCGTTGTTGAAATTCGAAATAAAACGTCGATACGAGAAGAATTGTTTGACGATTTCATCCCAAAAATGGTTTACATGAAAACTTGCTGCTGTTGCTTTAAAAATACTAGAGACGGATCCATGGCTTGTGCCATTTTTTACATGGTAAGTGTCGTCTAATGTCTTTTACGTAATTCTTTTGTTACATTCTAGCTCCTAGTCAAACGTTTATAACCCCGAAAATACTATCGACTCCCACACGACAAAAACAGTCCAAAGAACTGTGGTCCTAAACGTCATCCTACGCGAGATATTCGAGTCTAAACTGACGTAAATTTGCATTCGTCCTTTTTTAATAGGTCGGAATAATACACGCTTTTACGTCAATTTGACGTCATTTTTATCTTTTTTGTAACAATAAAGTGTCAAAATGACGTCATTTTTATCCTTTTTTTGTAACAATAAAGTGTCAAAATGACGTAAATTTGACGTAAAAACGTAAAATACTTTGACAAGACGAATGTATCCGATGCGTGTTCGAAAAAACATTTATGAAAGATTTAGGAGCGTCCATAAATTCTCCCAATTACCTTTATTACAGTGGAGTTTATTTTAATTGCAACGCGACATCAAATATACAGGACACAATAGGACAGTCGAATCTTTTACTCCAGTAAAAAAATAAAGCAGTACGTACAGGTTAAATATAAAAAAATTTTTCCTGGTTACGTGTCTAACACCTAAACAGGTGACAGTTTCTCATAGAAAGTCCTCTCGCCGGGCGTTATGGTAATACGTTTGGTAAACCAAGTTCGTAAGTATTTAAAAGGACAGAAATATACTTTTTACAACGGTTAACTGACTTTTAGGTCGCCTCGTCGACTGTGGAACGATGATTTGTATTAATTGATGAAACCAGTCTACCTGACTGACTGTTTAGAAGTACAAAGAAAAGTTGGATGGGATCCTGCGACGTGCGATGTGCCTGGCGGGAAGAATTTCTGTTTAGGTGTTAGACACGTGAAGAAAATTCGGAAAATTCCACGTTATTCAGGGTGGAACCCTCGAGTAGTGTTCGGTGGTTTGATCCATTTGGTCAATTGAGAAGTATTATCAGAAATGCAACAATTATTAACGATTTCTAAACCGAGTGATTGTCTTTACTTTTCGAAAAAGTGGAATAAATTTAAGCTTTAATTATATTTAAGACTTTATTTTAATTTAAATTCCTGTTACTTTGTAGGTTACGTGTATGATAAATGCATATTTGTATGTTTACGTGCTGAGAAACAAAGAAGCTTTACATTCCTCGGCCGAAATGTTGAACATCGAGGAAGAATGTAAACAACTTTTTACTTAACTTATACTTTATTCGTTTCTTAATAATAAAATAATTATACTTTATCATTAACGTTTAGCTGCAAGGAAGATGTACATTTATCAGTTGGCAGATACAGTAATTACGTTCCTGTGCAGTATTTTCCTGGCAGTTGGTGTGAGAAAAGTAAGTACGTCATTCACCCGTAAGTTGGGAAATATTTTTTATTATTATTGTAAAGGATTTAAAGCCGTATATACTGTAAAAATCGTCATTAATGTATGCATTTACATGCCTGGCTTTCTGTAGACAAATCTGTAAAAAGACCGACAATTTTAGCCCATTTTTCTGCACAAATTCTGTCATCTGTACAGTAACGTAAGCGAGATGGTTCGGTCCTCGTCTTTGTAAATAATTAATTAAAAAATCAAATAAGTTTAGGAAAGCGATTTGAATGTAATAAACACATGCATGTACAGGTGTGCTTTTCATTCACAGCGTTAGTAACAGTGTAGTGTGTATAAGTGTACGTGTATCTGTAACTACCTATCACAATTTTATTTGTAAAAAAATGGTTCTTTTATGCAGGATAATCGCTGTCTTTTCTTGCCATGGATATGTTGGATTTGCTTCGAATGTTTCGGTTTAGTTGCCATTGTCATATTCCTCATATATTTACTTACAGTTTGGGGAGTAAGTACATAAACTTTATTTCTAAATAAAGATGTTTATCATTTTATATTTTAATTATTTATAATTTATAGTTTCATCCTTCCTTGGTAATTATTCTTATCTTTTTGCTGTTTGGAGTTTTATTTGTGGTGAGTATTTAATTAATGTTGTGTTCTGTATTTAACTCGAAACTTATCTGTGACCAGGGCCGTTTTAACCGTTAGGCACGTGGCTAGGGTCCCAAAGCGCGGAGAAATGTAAGGAACAAGACTAATAATGTTACCAGAGGGGCCCAAAATACCTTAAAGTTTAGGGCGGTTAATACGGCCCTGTCTGTGTCTCCGTGCGCAAACAAATAATGAATTTGATACCGTCTTACAGGTTTACATGCTATTATGTGTTCTGTCACAATATCAACTGCTTTCTACTAGACCCCATTCTGACGCATATACAATGCCAAACACGACCGATATTTACGAACTAGACGAAAGCATGGGATGCGTAACACCAAATTATGGAATACACAATGAAGCCAGTCCGTCCGGAATGTCTGTTCCTGTTACTACGTACCAATCTGTCCCCAGCGACAAATTTTTTCCAACAAATGTTTATGACAGAAAACAAAATTCGGCAGTTGAAACTTTTTAAACTGCCTTTTTCATTCCTTGACCTATTTTAAAATCTTTGGATGTGTTCGAGTAATTTTACATTCAGCTGATTTAATCTTTATAAAGTATGGAGAATTTACATTAAAATTTCATCGGTATACAATTTTATTATTTTAAAACACTTATATACATCATCATAATATGGAATTTAAGGCAGTTTAAAAGGTTCTGGTAATATACAGGGTGTCCACAAAGTAAGTATAGGTATACCATAGAGGGGTTAAGCCAGACGAGCGTGGGGCCTCCTTACAGAAATATGGTATCCAGGGCTGTCACTATCGATTTAACGAAAGTGAACGGATCAGTGATCGTGTCGTGAGTCTAACTACGGTGTGGCACACGTATGCTGTGCCACACCGTATGTGTTCGTGGACATCCTGCATATGTCTACATATCAACTGTTTAATTACTGTTGTTATTTATTTTCGTTAACAAACGGGTGAAAAATATGTTTAATATGATAAGTGTTTAGTAACTTGTTATAACACGGTGGAAGTTCGTTAATCCGGCACTCTGAGATTAGGACGTTACAAATACAGCCGTACAGTACGTATTGTACCAGCACACCCTACTGATTTGTTTTCACACGCTCTAATCGGTCTAAAGGAGCAGTGTTTAGTCTTTAACGCATTACCTGTTCAAACGATCCGGATTATCGAATGTCAAATTAACTAACTTCTACTGTATGAACCTCTTTTAGCGCTTCACACCAAACTTTTCAGCACTAGTTTTGGATCCGGTATGGCAGCGCTAGCTTTGTCGTTACTCTTTCTTGTTGTATTGTTATATGAAATGTTTTTTAAGTAATTGAAGTTGCTTCTCGTGTTTTTAAAGTATAAAGTCAGTTAAATATTCTATCATCAGTACTTTATAAAACAGATTATGTGTATATCACTACGTAGAATAATTCGTAATAACAAAATTTACCAGGATCAGTAGCGGATTATGTTCCTTAGAGGCCCTAGGCGCAATTTTGTTACAAGGCCCTTCGTGTGAAAGAGGATTTTTTTATATTAAAATTACAATGAAATCTTTAAATACAAACATGTTTTTTATTTTTTATAATATACGCTTTTTAAACTTTCTCTAAATTTTTCGAGGCATATTATCTTTTTGCTATGTAATTTTTGAGGCCTACGAGAAGAGGAGGCCCTAGAAACGCGCCTAGTGCGCCTCTTGGTTAATCCGCCACTGACCAGGATGCATATCAGACATACAGATGCTGATATTTTTGTATTGTCTGTTGTTTAGGTTGGTGTTTCTACTGTTTATATTTATATGTCATTATTCTTTGTTATAAATAAATAAAATATATATATATATATTATAATAATAATAAAATATTTTCGCACAGTTTTATAATTGATATAAACTGCTGAAAAATTACTGTTATCAGCAGCTTTATAACACTAAAATACAGTTAAATAAATTATTAATTACTGAAAAAAATCATCTAACTACAATTTGAATGTAGTAAATGAAGGGAAGTTTTTATATTGTTTCTGTTTAATAACTTCATTTGAACTGTTGTTACATTGCCTGATTGTAAGAATAATGGAAAGTAAGAATTTCTACTGTTTTTCCTTAATATTTCCAGCAAAATATATTTTATTGTAAAAAAAAAAGGATAATTACACAAAGCGTTGCATCTTAATAAAGAATTGATGTGAAAATTTTCCAGTTTTTTCCGGTTAAAAAATATAAATTAAACTTCACGTTTACTAACGGATACCTAACAAAAGCGGACACTATCCCGAATGTCCGTTAAACCCATCTTGAATGGGTTCTCCGGATTATTCTTCTAAGAATAGCGAGACGTGTATTTTCTGTCTTTTACCTTTTGTGCCACGTCTCAATGGGAAATGCGAGTGTCTAGTGTGATGAGTCGCGTTATTGGTCTCACCCGGTACACGTGCCAGCAATATGCGAGAACCGATCGAACGTGTCAGTGTGATGGCTTCCACACAGCAGGGATTATCTTTCCACGAAGGGATAGAAGCACTGTGATAATAAAGAAGTCACGTGGAGTTGAGACGGGGAGATCACGGATGGTTCTTTTCGTATGTAGTAGGTAAAGCCCTGGATATAAAGGTGGCAATCTACCGCTCTGGGGATACGGACAGGTTGAAAACTCCAGGAATTTTTTCAGGTGTCGACGGTGCTTTCCAGCATCGTTTAATGAATAAAATACAGTATATCTTATCATAATACTCTTCCATAGATAATTTCTAATTACAACAACTTTAGAAACACAAAGTTTATATTTAATATTTTATGCAAATCTTTAGAACGCGTATGAACGAGCAAGACACCGTTGATCCTATAAAGAACAATGGCTTTTATCTAGCATTTGACTAGAAAATGGCGGCCTATTATCACGTGACACATTCTCCACCAATCGTAGATAGGAAATGTTAATAAAATTCCTTCCTATCCGCCTCATATACACGTTTTTAGAGGCAAAAATTACAATTACTTTGTATTTGCTTTTTTTAAATTTAAAGTTTAAATATGTAAATCTAGTTCAGCAGTGTAAGGGCCCCTTAAGGCTTTGGGCCTTTATGTGATGGCATACCTCGCATATTTATGTCACTGCCTACAAAATTTATAAAATATATTTTTAAATTGATTATGTCAATCATTTTAATATTTTCAGAACAGTCGAAAAAGCAAATTTTCAAAATAAATTTTACGTGGACACAAGCGCCCCTTACGTCTTCCGGAACAATTAAAAAATCGATTTGGTAAATATCGATTGTACAGTGCGCGTGACTATTGTTTGTTAAAGTTCGTAGACGCGCGTTTTCTTCAAAAGAATTAATTTACGATTTAATTGAAAAAAATGGCGTACATGAAAACTTGCTGCTATTGTTTCAAAAACACTAAAGATGGATCCCTGGCCTGCGCTGTCTTTTATATGGTAAGTTTTGTCCATTGTTTTCTACGTAATTGTTTTCTGTGACGTTTCACGCAAGTTTATACATTACAGTCGACCCCCCCCTATAACACTGTTGATTATTCCGTTTTATATGAATTCCATGTTGTACGAATCACTTAGATTTTACAAATATGTGTGCCGGGCTGTGAATGACTCACATATTTGTAAAATCTAAGTGACTCGTACAACATGGAATTCATATAGAACGGAATAATCAACAGTGTTATAGGGGGTCGACTGTATTTTAATTTATGCTTATTTTATATTTACAGTACTTACCTACGCGATTACTGTGTTAAATTAGTGTTGTCCTCTGTTTCAATTGTTTTTAAGGTAAAATTTTATGTTTTACCTTATTATTTTATGGTAAATTTTATAGTTTTAAATGTCAAAAACTGGTATTTTATATTTCAAACGTAAGCGTTTCATGTACCAAATGATGCTTTGAATAATAAATACAACGCATTAGTACAATTAACATAAATAATTCTGCGTTTAAACTTAATATTTATGTATATATTAATGCTGTGTTGTTTTGTAGAATATTCTGACGTACTATACATCGTTAACACTTAATTAATTGAATTAAATATAAAAGGAGGAAGCTAATACGTCTTTATATTCTCCATCTTTGTGTGTGTGTGCGTAATGTCTTTCTATCGTGACAAAATTGATTTTATAAGTGTTATCTGACTTTTGGCTTAAACTTAATATTTGTTTACATAAATATAATCCTATATATTTATTTATAAAAAGTTATTCGCCATATTGTATTTTATTTTAATTTAATACCGTTGTTTCTTTATAGGTTATTTGTGTGATAAATGCAATTTTTTACACGTACGCATTGAACAACAAAGAAGCTTTGCAGTACACAACTGATATGTTTAACATGGAAAAACACTGTAAGCAATTGTTTTCATTAATCGATTCTAATGATTTTTTAAACTTTAATTTTAATTTCTAGCTGTAAGGAAGATGTATATGTGTTACTTGGCAGAAACAATAATTGTATTCCTGTGCAGCGTTACACTTGCAGTTGGTGTGAAACAAGTAAGTCGTGTTATTCGTTATTTACATTCAAAATTATTCCGACTACCGTAGGGAAATAACGGAGTTTTTCGTCTGGTGTTACTCGAAGTAAGTCGCTTAACTACGTAATTTTACTGGCCTAAAGCAGTTAGGGGGCTTGTAAAATTAGCCTGCTCGCATTCACGTGTTTACAGAAAGATATTACCAAAAGACCCACAGTGAGAGAATTACAGGACGTACTTTTGAATGGAACAGTATGAAAACACTGTAAAGGTGTAGAAATACTGCAAAGGTTGAAATATAAACTGTAGTGTCTCCGTAACGGTACCCCGGTATTAATAAAACATTTTAAAAATTCATTTGTACCGTACACGGCTTTATTTTAGCGATACCCTTTCCAAATATTCTGTATAATACTTTACTGTATGCTTCTTAAACAATGCCTGTTTATCAGATATCATACAAGATACTAGAAAGAAAAATAGTTAAAACTAATATAGGAGTAACTTCTTATGTCGTACAAAATTATAAATGGTGTCCCATAAGTCAGGAACCTTGTTAATCTTTGTTTATTCTTTTACAGGTAACGCGTGACGCTGTCTAAGATGGAACCAATTAAGTTATTTTGATGAGGGGAGGAAATTCTCAGGCTGAGAAGTTGCATTTCAGAACTCTATATGCGATTAGTAGTAAGTGTGAATCCATCCTGCAACTTCTTACTGATCGAGAGTCACTCCCCACCATCAAAATAACTATATAACATGGCGATTTAATTAATTTAATCCGTATTTTATGCCTAATCAGCAGAAAATATTTCTTTTGTATAGGATAATCGCCACCTTTTCCTTCCTTGGATATGCTGCGTGTTCCTCGAGTGTTTCGGTTTAGTTGCCATTGTGATTTTCATTATATATTCAATTATAGTCCGGGGAGTAAGTGATTATTCTTTATTTTTTAAGTAAAATTAATTACTAATTGGTAAAATCTTATTTTAATCCATTAAAATTTACAGTTTCAGCTTGTCTTTATACTGATGCTTTTCTTTGTGTTTACTGGATTTCTATTTCTGGTGAGTAGAAAGCTTCAGAGTTAAATGTACGGGGCGTGTTGTTCTCTGTTTTAACATGGCTCTATACGGAATACGACGCCATTTTACAGGTATACATGCTATTGTGTGTTCTATCGCAGTATCAATTGCTGGCTAATGGTATACTTCCGACGGCTTACAGAATCGCTAACAAGTCAAGCAGCTACGATATAGAAAATAGAATTGCATACATCACTCCAAGTTACGGAATGCCTCAAGAAATCAGTCCGTACGGAATGCCCGTTGCTGTTGCCACGTATCAAACCGTTTCACACGATAAGTCTGTTTCAACCAATGCTTGAGCTGTGTGTAAATCATGCCACTCGATAAATGCTTATGTATGAAAAATGCGGCATTCGACATTGTAAAAAAAAAAACAAAAGAAAAGCTTACCTTTCTCGCGTATGTGTAACCTCGATATAACGCCACCATTTGTTTGCCTTGAAATTTGCACTAAAGCGAATGAAGTATCTGAAACTACGTACAGTACAGTAATGGGCTGTACACTCGTTTGAAGTTTTGCAACTCACGTGATTCTCTGATGACAATGGGTAGCGATATATAGGGATTGAGTCACATATAGTAACAATTAAAGGTTAAACAGGAAGCACATCGGAACACGAAGAGATTATCGCACTTTTCTGACTCGTTTCGAGTTGTGTTGAGAGAGGCACGTGCCACTCTCGACACGTGAACGACTTGGTATCACGTGATATTCTCAACACCTTGTTGTAATGTATACGATAATGTTAATGAATTGTAATTTGTTGCTTTTGCTGTCATTTTATTAAAAATCGACTTAATATTTTAATATAATGTAAATTATTTTTAAAAAACAATCAATAAAATCTAAAGCAGATTTTCTTTTATTTATCTATAATTAATTCGAATTAATAATTGTTAAATCGATTGATTAGAAAGACCGATAGAAATTGTTAATATCTTCTCTTGTCGCTGTCACGAGAAAAATTGAGAGTGGCTCGAAAGTGAGTTAACCATTTTTTGTGTTTCCGATTCTATTGTAAACACGTGTTAATTAACTCTATAACAATACGTTTTAGTTAGATTGATACCGTCGAGGCTGATCCTCACTAACCTCGTGATCGGTAGAAGGGCGCGTGACTCGAAATTGGAACAAAATAAGGACCACCCCTGGCTTTTTCTGTTGCTCTTTTTTATTCTACAGCGTTTTCCTTTTGTTCCAATCGCCGAAATTTATTAACTTATAACTTAAATTATAAAATAATTACACGAATTGTATGGTCGTTATTGTTTCTAAAATAAGTACCCCTATTTAGGTGTTACATAGGTAAAGAAAATACAGAAAACTCCCTGTTTATACAGGTTTTACTGTATTAGTTACAATAGAATTAAATTTTATCGTTTGTGAACGTCGATAGAATGTAAGTATTTTTTCTATTCGCAAAATACAGGGCGGTCCAAAAATCAGTTAACCGTGTTGGTTTCCTCGTTTCGTGTATATACGTACACTGTATCAAACTGTTTTACTTACAGTTGATACATTTGCTTACAAAATAAGACAATTAATTTACTTTTTGGTATTGTTAAGCGACTTTTGGGTATACTCCACGTCCGGTAGTTTTATTCACTTGGCCACTGGCGGGCACTTTAATTTATTGTGTTTAATTAAAAGTTATTCTTTATATAACTTTCAATACATCTTACGTAGGGGATTCCGTTCTATGGCAATAGCCCATAGAACAAAAGCCCATGCATAACATTTAGTTGGACGAACATGTGTCTTTGTTATTATTAGTGTTGTAATAATTGTAAATTTTACAGTTAAGTTTTATTGGGGTTTTAATAAGTGAAGCACAGGAATGAATTAATATTTTACCACCAGACTGAGCTTTAGAGCCGTATTCACAACCAAGAATAGAAAGTTAGAAGTTAGCCTATAAGAGTTTAGGTACTAGAAGTACAGTAGATGATAATTGGCTAACTTCTAACACTAACTCTTGATTCTTGGTTTAAATAAAGGGGCAAGTTTATTTCTGTTAATTTTGAAAAATTTAAGAGAATTTCACAAAATAATCTTACGCAAATCAACTTGAAATGACCGTTTACATTTATATAAGCGCCCCTTACGTCTTTAGAGCTTAATTGTACCATTATAGAGCTAATAATAGCTTTATCCATTCGGCCACAGACGAGCGAATAATAGAAAAAACACACAAATATCACAGGGTTACAACGGTTTGGGTGTTTACAAGTGTTACCTACAAGTGCTAGGGTCACATCAGTGGCCCGTTATACCTTCACCAGGCCTAAGGAAATTTGAATTAAGGTGCCTCATGTAGTGTTGACTTCAGACGTTTTTCTTCGAGGGAATTTTTTGGGGGAAAATTTTCTTATAAAAGATCAGTTTGGGGTCCCCTGCTTGTGGGGTTTATTAACATTTTTATTTGTACAGTCACCCGGGCTGTACAGTGTCCTTTACGATTCTAGGATAGGGCACTGCTCAATATGGTTTCCATTCTGAAGGGGTGTTGAATGGTCATCTGTGGTGCTTCTCTCATGCAGTACACTGTCCTTCAAGATTAACATATTTGCAGCCTGTCCTCGATAAACCATACATTCTAAGTGTCTCAACAAATAAAATTGAGTTTTTGTCGATCGCGGTGCTAAAAGTGCCTTAGTGGCACGATTTGGTACTATTTTTTACGGAAATGCTATGAAATATTATCATAGAAGAATTGGTTAGGGGAGACCGGGGCAACTTCGTCATGCGGGGCAAGTTTGTCAAGCGCTTTTTTTTTAAAAACAAATTAAAAGGAGACTTTGGTTATAGGTTAGGCAGTTGAGTTTTATTGGTGGCTTGTTGAGTGTAGTGTTTTTATTGTTCTCCAACAAGCGTAGTTGAATTATCAAGCAAATTTTCATTTTCGTTGAATTCCATATATTTTTTTTCCATTTATATTGAATTGGCAGGTTTTGTTATAATTCCATGATAACGAAAGTTACTTTTCCTGTTAGAAGGATGTAACTTCAACTTATTCACGTGGCCAGATCGTGGCTTGGCATTCTGTTCTCAGGGTTGTACTTAATGTTTCGAAATCATGACTAGCGGGGTAAGATCGGCAACATAAAGCCACATTAGAAGCAAAGGATAAAAATCAAACAGATGATAAATGAAAACATGTTTGCATTTGTTATTCATGTATATATGTCTTTGAACTTGCATTTCGTTGTAATAATATTAAATGGGTGTTGGATTTGTATTTCTTTGTTTTAATAGTGAATTCCAACTTATACATTGTTAATAACATAATTTTATATACGTGCCTATCTTGCCCCATTACTGTTGCCCCTATACCAGGGGCAACTTTAATAAAAATAATTAAAATAATTACAACTTTACAAAAAGAGAGAAGTTGCCGATCTTGCCCCTATACCCGGGGCAACTTCGTCAATTTCTCTCTTCTTGTAAAGTTGTAATTATTTTAATTATTTTTATTTCCAAACTGATTTTAACCAGTTCTATAGTAAGGTAACATTCCAATAGACAATATGCAAAGCTTTTTTTTCAGTTTACAGCAGTATTTATTACACAAAATTTAAGTAAAGCTTAACATGCCGATCTTGCCCCGGTCTCCCCTACACTTGGATTGCTAAATATCTCTTTAGACTGCTTTGAATAAGATCACTTGATATTTAAACATGGACAATACAACCGAATGTTGTCATATAGAGTGTGTTTATTAGCCATTATAGCATTACCATTAGCATTTAATTGTTAAATCGTGCCTTTAGCCAGTGCAGTCGATTATTGAGACTCGAATATAACGAAAGTTTTGGCCGTCATAGAATGGGGACTGACTGTAATTGGGCTGAAATTTTCAAATTGCAGATCAACACATTTCCATTGTCCGTCTTCTGTCATAAATAAAAAATATATATATATGGGTTATTTATTAAATTAAGAGTTTTTAAATAAATTATTAATTTAAATTTCGATATTCTTACTACAGTAATCAGTTTATAAAAGACTGGTTCGAGGTCCCTGTTGGTGGGGAATCCATGCAATCTCCCTTTTTGCCCACAGGATAACGCCCCTCTGGAAACAGCAGAGGTGAGGAATGACAATTTTAAGCAAACACTTGAACACACTGAAAAATGATGAACCTCATTACACAGATAAAGAATTAAAAACTAAAAGGGGGACAACTCTTAGTGTTCACTGGAGTACGACTAAGGTGCATCCTCAACCAGCATCCAGAGGTAAACCTCTGGATGCTGGTTGAGGATGAATGAGATGAGAGGAGAGGAAAGTAAACTAGAATTTAACAGATAAAGCAGTCAATTCACAAATCTTAGTCAATAATCTCTCTCCATTGTCTTTCGGATGAAACATTTTCAATGGCTTCTATAGAAAAAAGATGCACTAAAATATAGATCCCCTGTTGTCGTCTGTTCTTCTGTCCTTCCTTAATCTCGAGAACGTAGTTAGATACGTGAAAATCGAAACCAGCATTGGAAAGCTTACAGACCGAAAGTTTCCGGTCTGTAAGCTTTCCAATGCTCGGAAACTACGTATTTACATTCGGTTTGGAAGAAAATCACGTGGTTTTTTAAATTAAAATACGATTAAAATAAACTAATTGCTCGTTAATCTTTCAATAATCCTATACAAAATATAAACTTTTGTATAGGATTATTGAATTATACGCGCCATATTTTCTTGCCTTAGATGTGTTGCGCGTGCCTCGAAAGCTTCTGCTAGTTTTCCTTCGTCATTTTCATGTCCTATACAATTTTCACTACAAAAGTAAGTACATAATTCTCATTAGTGATGAGTTCATTCGTCGATACGTTCACCCATTCCCATTTTTGTACGTTTTTTAAACCTTAAATTAAAGCCAAATCGCCCAGTAAATGTAAAAATCTCTTAATATGTATGACGTGTGAAGTGATTACAGCATCATTTAAGTGTTAAAATATAGAAAAGTTCATTCGAGTGCTCATTTTATCTGTTTATAAATGTATAGTTCGATGCTATATTAATACTTATCGCCGCTATTGTGCTGTTTATATTCATGTTCGTGGTGAGTACAGTCGACCCCCCCATAACACTGGTTCCTTTAGCTCGGATTCCTATATGACGGCGAAAAAATTGCGACGGTATCCGTACAAACATGGTAAAAAAAATTCCTATAATTCGGTAAAACGTCATCGGGCAGCCTAACTATTTTCCGCTTACCAGCGCCACGCTACGGAGAGTTTAGGCGAGTAAGTTGAGTTTACTATCGTCTGTACAGTATGTAAATTAGGTACCGTAAGTCTAATACAGCACTAATTTTATACATTTCTTGTGAAAGAAACATCTCTTATTCAACGTCCATAAAAATTATTTATACAGTAGACCCCCTATAACGCTTAGATATGTTCCACGCTAACCGAAAATTACGTTGTAGGAATGATTAAATACATGAGCCAATCGCAGCCCGATAGGTGGGTACTTTACGGACTAAGGCTGTTCGAAAGGTTTTCTTCTATAAAATTAACCGATTCTAGACTAATTCCACTCAACATTTCCAAAATACGTATAATTTTTTGGGAATAATCTGTATAAACTATGCTATAAACAAAAAATTGTAGGATTACTTACAGAGTGTGTACCGTTCGACTACGCCGTTGCTTAAAGCTGGTTTTCATCGCGGAACAGCACACGAAACGACGGCCGCAATTTCTGATAACGAATTTTTGGCGGAAAAATAACTTGACCTTTGGAGACATCATTAATATAAATAATTTTTATGGCCGTTGAATAAGAAGTGTTTCTTTCACAAGAAATGTATAAAATTAGTGCTGTATTAGACTTACGGTACCTAATTTACATACTGTACAGACGATAATAAACTCAACTTACTAGCCTAAAATCTCCGTAGCGTGTTGCCAGGCGGCAGAAAGCATATATATAATTATAATAAAGTTACAATAAATTAAGTTAATATATAATTATATATACAGTACCTAATTTATATATAATTAATATATAATTATATGTACAGTACCTAATTTATATATAATTTATATATAATACTAAACAGACGATAGCAAACTCAATTTAGCCGCTCCGTAGCGTGGCGCAGGGTCGGAGGAAAGTAGTTCGGCTGCTCATCCACTATTGGTCCAGACTCTATCAATCTTCTCGCGAAACGACGTTATAGGAGGTACGTTATACGAAAGTTGCTACAATTTTTTCGCTACGTTATAGGAATTTCCGTTATAGGAACGTACGTTATAGGGGGGTCGACTGTATTAATGATGTCTCCAAAGTTCAACGAAGTTTTCGCAGAAAAATAAATTATCAGAAATCGCGGCCGCCGTTTGGTGCGCCTCTCCGCGACAAAAACAAGCTTAAGCAATGGCGACGTCGAACGGTGCACACTCGGTAAGTAATCCTACAATTTTTTGTTTATAGCGTAGTTTATACGGATTATTCCCAAGAAATTATACGTGTTTTGGAAATGTTGAGTCGAATTAGTCTAGGAATCGATTAATTTTATGGAAGAAACCTTTCAAACAGCCGTAGTCCGTAAACTTCACATGTGTCGGGCTGTGATTGGCAAGGTCTCCTAAAACATCAATTTTATAAAAAACGGAACGTATTTACCGTCTTATGGGGGGTCGACTGTATTTTCAAAATTCCACAGTCTTTGTATTTATCTATGATTTAACGAAGGAATAAATGACGAATTTTGTCGTTTTACAGGTGTATATGCTGGTATGAGTTCTGTCACAATATCATTTGCTGGCTAACAGACCGGCACCTAAAACTTTTGTAATAGATAACACAGTCAATACTTACAAAATGGATCACAGTGTGGAAAACGTGACTCGAAATCACGGAGAAAATGATAAAGTCCATTCCTATTGAATGCCTCTTATTGCCACCTATTCCAAATAATTCTTCATTCGTGTTTCACCTGTGAGCACACTTGTAATGTAAGGAAATGCAATAGTCCAAAGCCTTGTAAATAGTATATACTTATACAATTGTAGATTTGTATTATTTTTAAACAATTATATTATGCAGAGTATTGGCGAGATATGGTTAGTTTTCGGTGTTTTCTAGATGATTAATGTACCCAAATGTTGGTACTTTAGTGCAGCTAGAGGATGAGCAGCAAGATCGAGGCTTTCCCTCTGTTTTTTCAGTGTGCGTAGCAGCATTTTCAGGGGTAACTAGTCTAAACTTTACCCCCTTCTTCTAGCGCTGAAACTACGCGTTAAAAAGGCTACATTATGATATTTCTGGATGTTCTAGGCCCAAGACAAGCTGTAAGAATATGCTAGATTGATTGATAACAAACTAATTTGTTTCCTTATCACTGGTTGCAAGAGTCACACAATCGGAAGTATCAATATAGTAACGTAGAAAGACGGCAGCCTGTTGGAATGTTGCTCGTTTTATCGCACTTATTCAGCAATATTATTCTTTATGGAATGTCAATTCTATAGATTGCAGGGACATTGTGAAATTGTACCCGCAAGTGGGTCTGGTATTGCCTCACCCCGAAGGAAGAATGCATAACAGAGGCAAACTCGGCCAAAGTCCAAAAAACTCTACGTGGCACAAGGAGCTTATTTTATATAGAAATTCACAATTTTCCAACACTTGTATTTATTGAAACCTTTCGCATTGATGGCTGCAATGATCATACATTATAGGGCAATTGAAAAATTCAGAATACCCTAAAAATCACTTGTAAATAAACTTAAACAAACCAGTTTGAAATAATTGTTTACATCGATATAGGCGCTCCCTTGCGTCTGTAGAAATAATTAGAAAATCGATATTCTAAACATCAATTTTACGCTCCACTTGATGATTGTTTACTAAAGTTTACAGTTACACATCTCTGGTGCTGAACTATTTCACGATTTAACTCAAAAATGGTGTACATGGAAAGATGCTGCAAGTTCAAAAACACCAAAGATGGATCTATGGCTTGCGCTGTCTTTTTCATGGTACGTTTCATCTATTGCCTCGCATACAATTTTTCTCTGTGACGTGGTTTTGATATGGTTTTATATATAAATTAATACCGTTTTGTTTCGTAAACTTTTCCGGTATATTATTTGAGTGTTTAGTTATATTTTTGTGCATAAAGTCTAGCGTAAATGATGTTTGCAATGTTATATTCTTCAAGTTCTGTTTCATGATTCCGAGAGCCCCGAGCATAGAACCCGTAGAACTTTCCACAGTGCTTTGTTTCGTATATGTGGGGTCCCGACCCTCTTCCAGTTTCACCTAGTAGGAACAGAATCCACGATGGGTATAAGAAAAGGCTCTCTTAATGCCCACGAACGAAGACTCAAAAATAACTCTAGTCTCTAGTGGAATTGGTCCTAAACTCTAGTGGCCTTAAACTCCTCAGAATGCGAGTTTTGTCTTCTAAGGAGTTATAGGTAAACATGAACAAACTAACCGAGTACAGAGCGTGTTTATTGCCCATTATAGTATTGAATTTAACAGTACTGCTGTACCTGCCACTAGCTAGTACAATCAATTGTTAAAACTCGAAAATTATTTTACTTTACTTTATTTCTTCTAAGTAGAGATGATCTGACGAGAAGAGGTGCCTTCCGGGAGGATTTTTATAGAAAATTGGCCCATATTTAGGTGTTAGATACGTGACGAAAATCCGAAAAACTTCACTCATTAGCCTGTTGTCCGGCGCGAACCCGCGACTGTTTAAATTTTAGATTTTATTCTGATAAAACTTTTTTCTTTACAGCTTATGTGTTTAGCGTATACAAGTTTATACGGTTACATATTGAGTGACGAAGAAGTGTTGATTTCGGCAGCTGAAATGATTAAGATTGGGGAAGATTGTAAAAAAAAATAATTCCATCTCTTTAAAGTTATTTTACTAAATAAGTAACAATACTAAATTATAAATACTTCATTTAATTTTAATTTTTAGCTGCAAAGAATATGTTCATATGCCATTTGACAGAAACAGTAATTTTGTTCTTGTGCAGTCTTTTGCTTGCATGTGGAGTGAAAAATGTAAGTCATTCATTCGCAATTTGAAGTGTTTCTGCATTTTTTATAATTTTTATAGAATTTAGAAACGTTTTAGAAAGTTTTATTTAAAAAGTGTAAATGCTAGTAACGAATAAAATCATCATTAAATTCGACCCTACTGGAGATACACGTAACTCCCTGTATCTCCCCACCCTTTCGATCTTTAACCACCAAAATTTAACAGCACCAATCCCCCTAATACGCAAACCTTTCTACAAAATTTCAGAAATTTTCGACAAAAGGCATAGGAGTTATTAAGCTTCAAATTTGGTAAACAAATTCATCCCTCCCCAAACAAATACACTAACATTTATACATACAGAAAGAAACCACAACTTTTCCTGACCCCAAATTCAAAAATGTAAAAATTTTGGGTGTCATACAATCTCTTTGTTATATATAATAGCCGGAAAAGTAAAAAAAAAAAAAAAAAAATTCGACATTACACCATTAAATCAATAAACACATAATCATAAACCTGTACTGTACTAGACTCCGACTTTTATTATAGGATCAGGACACTATAGCATAGTTGTTGTGTGTCTGACCTTGTGTTAAACAGCGACCACCGATGGTAACATAACACGTGGCCGTTGTTCGGAGGTGGCCACGTTTTGCGGGTTATTTTGCATGCATTTTAAAAATAAATATTCCCGAAAGATGGCCACCGTTTAGACGTGTCCGTCGGTGAGAGGTTCCACTGTATTTACTTCCCTTTATTTAATCCAAATTTTTTTCTCCTAAGGAGTAAAAATATTTATTTATTTATTTATTTTTGTGCAGAATCAACGCCGCCATTTTTTACCTTGGATGTGCTGCGTGTGTCTGGAATGTTTGTGTTTATTTGCATTCCTCATTTTCATGATCTACACAATTTTAACTGCAGGAGTAAGTATTTTTTTTAACAAGAGGTAGCTTCATTCCAACAAAAATAATCGATAATTCGAGTGATTTATTATTTTTTTCCTTCGTTTAAACCTTAAACCAAAAAAGAGGCGGTGAATTTATATAAAAATATAAAATAAATAATATTATTTACCCGTTTATAAATGCTTATTTTAATTATTTCTACTTTATAGTTTGATGCGGTATTATTACTTATTGCTATGATTGTGTTTTCTGTATTTATATTTGAGGTGAGTACAAACGATTGAAGAAAGTGTCAATTCTTCTGGAAGAAATTAATAATTAATTTTACGTGGCTTTACAGATATACATGCTGATGTGTGTTTCGTCACAATACCAATTGCTAGCCGATAGATCATCACCTGCTAATTATACAACTGGCAGAAGCAATGCCTACGAAATGGATTCTCGTTTTCAAATGCCTAATGAAGTCTTTACGTATTAAACGTCTCTTCTGTTACAATACACAAATTTAAGTCTGTAGAATTTTCTGCAACTACAATTGGCTAGTAAGAATTGTCGACATCACAAAAATAACTTTTATATTATTAATGATAATAAATAAATAAAATTGTATATGGCGCCATCTCTTATGAATTTTTATTATTAAAACTTTCTATGCTTTTAATTATTATAAAATGACATAACGCTTAATTTTAATATCATTCGGGGGATGGTTTCTGAAGTGTTGTGTGGAGAACCGTACTGTTTACGTCACTGTTTTGTACTTTATACACCTAATTAATAAAATAATGTAGGGTTTTGTACCCCCATACTGCGTATTATTCCTTAGTACAATTAAAAGTATTAGTCGAGAATATGTGTTACGTAATGTAAGGGTGGGGTGTTACTTAAAGAATTACATAATTTATGAACGATCCTTCATTATGCAAACATTTCTCGAGTATTTTAAAGAAATTTTTCAATATTTTATGACACAGACTGAATTTCTGATTTCATTTCTGAACAGGAAATATAAAGTTGAAATATTTAAGTTCGATCTAAAATATCATTTGCATATAAACAAATCAATTCGAAATATTTGTTTACATCGATATAGGCGCCCCTTACGTCTGTATAATCAATTAGAAAATCGATAAACTGAACATCAATTTGATCCCCCACATGGTGATTGTTCACTGAAGTTTACAGTTACAAAACTCTTTAACGATTTAATTCAAAAATGGTGTATATGAAAACGTGCTGCTATTATTTTAAAAACACTAAAGATGGATCCTTGGCTACTGCAGTCTTTTATATGGTACGTTTTCTTTTTATCTTCTATAGAAATTTTCTCTGTGACGTAGTCATTAATCTAGTAATAACTGAACCGATTCATTTTAATTTTGTTCCTCTATTCTAGTTGTTTATGTGTTCTTTTTTTTAAACTTTATACATTAAGTTAATTTATTCCATTTTATGCTATACGAATTAAACTTTAACTGTCAACAGATGGTATTTCACCGGAAATTCCATCTGTTGACAATTGCCTAACATACAGTGCCTAATGGCACTTTGTATAGTTAAAAAGAAATAAGGTGATTTAATACGAGAGCGATCTGTCAGAGAGGTGTTATTCTGGAGGACAACTTGCTCACATTTAAATGAAAAACATGAAGGGGCACGTACCCTACCTTTTCCTAATCCCAATGGGACCCCAAACAACAGAAAATTCCTGCCTTCTTGCTTATTCTGCAAATGTAAAAGAAACTAATAAACGATATTTGTCCATTGACCCATGCTACTTCGTGGTATGTTGAACCCAATTCTTTGTTTTCAGGACCAAGTTAGTGGAAACACTGATCCGACGTTGAATCATAGAATTTGAAGCTTCTTGCCTAATGGACGATGCTCCTTTTCATAGTCTATGGGAAAGAAAACTAGACACTTGAAGTAAATTTGGAAAACTCAACAGAACGTTGGTGAGGTGCGAACCCGCGACCATCTACCAGTGTTTAGTAATTGACTAACAAATACTACAGAGAATACTTTTATAGTATTACAGATAATTCTTTGATTAAAAGTTATCTTTATATAAATGTATATAAATAAGAAACTAGTTGAAGTGATAAGTACAATATTACGTTACACGAAGTGTGGTAATCCCCGGCTTAAAGATTTTTGTCATAAATCGAGTCGTTCCTAAATCGAACATCCAAAATAACGGTGATTATAGGGAATGGTTTTCAAGGCCGCCTATAAACAAATATCCCATCAATTATTGTGTGTACATACCATTATAAAATATAGCGAGTCTGTTTACATGTATTCACGTCAAAGTAACATTTAATATTTTAATTAATGAAGATCCAGAAGGCACGCAAAAAGTCCTCGTCCAGGTTATAAGGAATCCTGGACCGGAATCTCGTGACTTTTTAACTAAAAAGATGATTACAAATCGCAGGCCGACATTAAGAAGATGTCACAATAAAAATAATTGGTCGTTTTAAATTTTATTATGATTTAATTTCTATCTTTATAGGTTATGTGTGTGGCGATTGTAAGTTTACACATTTACTTATTGAACAACGAAGAAGCTTTGACTTCCTCAGCTGAAAAGTTTAGAATTGGTGAAGAATGTAAGAAAGTTTTTTCATTGTTTCTATGACAAATAATCACAATTCCTCATTAATTTATTGTTTTAATTTCAAATTTTCAGGTGCAAGGGCGTTGTCCATATGTCACTTGACAGAAGCAATTATTGTGTTATTATGTAGTATATTCCTTCTATTTGGAGTGAAAAAAGCAAGTAGAATATTCACTTTATAAGTTTCCTTTATACTTCTCACTATAATTGTCCTTAGTGTACTGCAGATAGTATCACTACACGTGTTTGTATTTAGTGAATGCGTGATGACGTATCCAGAAATGATTTCACGTCACAAATTACAAGCATTCACTCCCCCATTAAACAACACGGCACCCCAATCTCAATTTTACTTTATTATATTTAAGTCTAGTTAGACATATTAACCAATTAACTAGATAGGACTACTATTGTGTTTCATACACAAGCATTATATCTATTTCTTAAGAGTAATGTGTATTAAACGTGACGATTTACTTTGTTTAATCCACAATTTTTTGTATAATGAATATAAATATTAATTTTTTATATAGAATAAACGCCGTCTTTTCTTGCCTTGGATGTGTTGCGTGTTTATGGAATTGTTGTATTTATTTGCCTTCCTGATTTTCATGGTATATTTAGTTTTAATGACAGGAGTAAGTATATAATTTTTATTATTGGTGAGTTCATTTGAACGAAAGATAATCGATCGTCTGATTCATTCATTCATCCCATTTTTTTGTGGGTGCGCGCTTTAATAAACTATTGTTTATTAAAGCGCGTGATGTGTCTCGACTAGTCCCACTGATAAAATTAATAACACTTTTAGCCTTGAAGCATACATAAAATCAAAATTAAAGCGTTATATTTAAATACAATTAAGAATAAATGTTTCTGAGGCCTTATTATTACGATGTTAATCTAGTGTTAAACGACTGATAAGTGGCAAGAAATTTGCTGAGACAAGAAATAACCCACATGATCATCCATGTATGAAAAATCATTCAATTGAAACCATCAAAATAGTATTATCTGTCAATTTATAAAAGCTTATTTATAATTTACAGTTCGAACTGGTGTTGACAATTGTTTCTATGATCATGCTATTCGTGTTTATTTTCGTGGTAAGTATTTACAATTCGATAATTTATGAAAGATGCCAATTATCTATGAAGAAAGAAATAACGAATTTCATGACGTTTTACAGGGATATGTGCTGATTTGTGTTCTATCACAATATAAATTGCTGTCTATTCAATCTCTACGTAATACATTTATGGCAAGTAACACAATTGATACATTGGTAATAAATCACGTAACTCGAGATCATGGAGAAAATAATAAAGTCCATCCCAATTGAATGCCTTTTATTACCACTCGTTTTAAACAATTCTCCATTCGTGTTTCACTTTTAAGCACTTATACATACGAGTTGGTGTTTTTGACGTAAGATAAAGTGCAGCTTACAGCTTTGGAAATGCCTGAATATGAATTAAACTCTATAATATATACTGTATTTTACTCTTTCTTGGATGTGCTAGTGTTTTGTGTATTGCTATTTTTTAATGTTTTACATTAAAGTGTATAATTAAACCTGATTTTATCGTTAATATTTATAAACCAGATAATAATATAAGCATTTATGTAACACCAAGAAAACTACTAGAGCTACCTCAGCACTCCCTTTTAATGAACTTGTCATTTTCCATTAACTGCGACGAGTATTTATATAATTTACTTGTTAGTATAGAATGAATCCTGTGTAATAAAATGTTTAACTTATGCCTTTAAAATCAGATAAGAATATGAAATTCGGGGGCGTGCCGTGACATTATGATAGGGAAGCTGTGTTTTTATAACAAGCCGACTTCCAGGGGCAATCAGTCAGTGATGGTCTAGGGTTCATTCGTATTCGTTCGTTCGATAAGCCAGTAAAAACCGTAGACTTCTCTAAATGTATTTTTAATTAATAGATTATCTAACGCACTTAATAAATAAGCAAGTTCAATATAATTAACTCTCTTATATTAGATTTAATAGATTCTATACGCCCTCTAAATGCCAATTCTCGCTTCGATAACATCTACTAAT